ATTAGAAATAAAGAAGATAATAAAACTTAGAAGATTTATACATTTTCGAACATTCGAAACAGCCCTTCCCCTGCTAACAGTCCAGTACCAAAGGTTCTAACAAACGCAAAATTGTCCAGAATCAGAAGCACACAGCAACAATACAATGATTTAATTAACTTGTGTTTTTCTATAGATTTACTGACACTATAGACAAAAAGAAAAACCAACTCTGGCTGTGGGGACCATCGTCCGGATGCGCTGGCCGCTGAGACGATCGATGAGCATGGGCGATTCTGCAGTATTCGCGAGAAGATGCCGAGCATCTGCAAAAAAAATATAAGTAAAAAAGCAGGGAGAGGAGATGAAAAAGTAAAAAGAACAAGGTTGCTAGGAACGTTAATAAATGGTAGTTTCCAGAAATATTATCGATCCCAGCCTTAAAAATTGTGCTTAGGCTTAGGCCTTGTGCCAAAATTGAACAGTTTAGAAAAGGCAAATTTTTGTTACCTGGACCGGTTTCTGCGGAGCTTGATCGTGTTTATATTGTGGTCGCATGTGAGCGTTCAGCGCGCCAGCTTGAGAGGGTCGTTGGTGAATGGCCGTCGAGGGGTGATACGCGCCCTGAAACACAAATTCCTGGTAGATATAAAACTCTCCAATTTTTCCACAAATCCTGACAGACCTAAACGTACCTCATCACGAAGTCCGGCTTTGGGCATGTGTTTCGGCCGTTTTCCCTGTTGGTACGTGTGTACTTGCCCGTCTTTCCACGGCACAACTCCGTACGCATCTTCCTTGCCGTTTCCGCGCGGTTTGTAGTAGATGGGGGCCGCATTCTCCTTGTTCAGCACCAGCCCTTCCCGTGGAGTCGTCTTGGCGACCATTCTCGTTGATTTCGCATCATCAGCAGCAGGTTCATCTGTTGATGAGGTCGGCGATTCGGAGCTGTACGCGGAATAATGGCGTCTGGAATGGCTGGAGCAGCTGTCGTTGAAATTTTGGCGGAAAAGGTCCGGTACTGGACTTTTAGCAGGAGGAACTCATTTTTTCGCCTCCACCTACACGTTAACAAAAATAGTGTATTTTTGTACTGTTTTTCGTAGTTTTTGATTGCTAGAAAGAATTAGAAATAAAGAAGATAATAAAACTTAGAAGATTTATACATTTTCGAACATTCGAAACAGCCCTTCCCCCTGCTAACAGTCCAGTACCAAAGGTTCTAACAAACGCAAAATTGTCCAGAATCAGAAGCACACAGCAACAATACAATGATTTAATTAACTTGTGTTTTTCTATAGATTTACTGACACTATAGACAAAAGAAAAACCAACTCTGGCTGTGGGGACCATCGTCCGGATGCGCTGGCCGCTGAGACGAACGATGAGCATGGGCGATTCTGCAGTATTCGCGAGAAGATGCCCAGCATCTGCAAAAAACTAAGTATAAAACAGCTGATCAGTGAAAGGAGATGAAAACGTAAGAAAAACGTTGTTAATAAGGTTAAAATCATATTTGCCAAAGGTGTTATCGGACGCACTTTCAAAAACCCAGCCTTCTTTTTAGAACATAACGAAGAAAAAGGGGAATTATAATACTTTTTATAACAAAAAGAAACTAGCTTTTTTTGAGAATCTCAACCTCAAAAATTTTTCATTTGGTAAACTTCGAAAACGCATGGGACCACATGGTTCAAATGTCGAGAGGAGTCCGGTGTAGCCGCTGATTTGGAATTTGGTCGAGATCGTGGAACCGTCGACGATCAACTAAAAACTCTTCTAAAATTTATATTTTGTGTTTTATTGACCTTTTAAATAGTTTTTACTCTTGATAATAATATATATTTTTATCTAGATGGGCGCCAATCTATCGGCGAAGAAAGAGCCGCCGATAATTGCCGTCTGCGATGCGCCGGTGTTTTGTGTGAAGAAAATGGGGACACGGTGAGTCAGTTTACACTAGTTTTTACCTTTATTTTCAGGCACTTGCTGGTGGCTGGTGGAGGTGGTGCGGCGAAGACCGGTGTTCCAAACCAGATAGAGGTCCGTTTATTGTGTTTTACCGCTTGGAAAACGCGAATTTAGACGTTGCTCATCACTTTCGACCCGAAGGCCATCAGATTTCCGTCAGCTGGTGCGGCAACGAAGGTCACCAACAAGGTATAGTTCTTGATTTTTCGAGAATTAGCTTGATTTTAGCTCAACACCGATCCGTACGCGACAATGACATTGGATATTGCGCATATCGAGCATCCGGTGACTGGCACTTATTTGATCGCTGCTGGACACGATCAGGTGAGGAATCGAGGCTCCAAAGATGATTTCTTTTAGTATTGCAAGCTGTACGAGACGACTGGCTTCGAGGTTGATCCTGAGGAATTCAAGAATGATCCGAAGGTAGCTAAAAATCTTTTTTTTTGTATTATAAATTTTTTCCAGCACCTCGGCTTCAAATGGCGAGAGGTTGGGCGATTGACAACGACAGATCTACAAGAGAATGCATATCTTGTAAAGATCCTCTCATTTCTAGCTAGATTCTCTGCTTTAGAAAGTGGTGAAATTCGATCGAAGTCGGCCTCGAGGGCAACGATTGGCCACTGGCAGTACGGATGGCCATATTCGAATGTGGGAAACGAAGAATATCTTTGACAATCGGGTCCGTTGATTCATCACGCGGGCAAATACCGTGGTTCTTTGCATTTTAGGGCCGATGCAACTTTTTTAAAGGACCCAATTTTTCTAAAATAACGTAAAAACTGTACAAATTTTGCATTAAAAAATACAAAAATATCGATTTTCCACCAAAATTTCAACTAAATTTTTCCTATGTTTTTAAAAGTGTTTTCCCACTTAAAATATAGCTAAATTTTAGTAAAAACACTATTGAAATACTTGCTATTACGTTACGAGGCATTTTGGACTAACAGACATAAGCCCTCCCCCGATAATGCAATAGAACAAATTCCTTTTAGGACCCAACACTGACGCACCATCCAATCCTGGATATTGCCGTCAATCAATCAGAAGTGGATGATCTCGAATTCTCGAATGATGGATCGATTATTGCATCTGTTGGCGAGGGAAAGGTATAGAATTTTGATTTTGAAATATTTATTGATTTTGAGGCGATATTATGGGATGTGAATAGCGGAAAGAAGCTTCTCGATCTGCCGATGCCCGCCCCGGAATGGGAGAAAAAGTACAAGGTATCACTTCGTGGTGTAAAAAACTGTATGAATTATTTTTGTAGGTTCGCTTCGTGCGTTTCACCCCGTATGGTGAAGGGAGACACGTCTTTGTCGTCGCCTACAATCAAATTCAACGGTATTGATTCTTAAAAGCTCTTTACCTCCTTTTTCAGGAGCTCCAAATCGAATTGCTATGTGGTTCTGTGGGCGTATAATAGAGAAAGAGCCGCCTGTCGACCCGTTGTTATCAAGGAAATGCCGAAAGAGGTACAAATCGAAGGTTCTTGTGCATTATCGGCGGGATTTTTTCGTATTGGTCCGTAAAAACCTTTACCGATTTCCAAACGTTTTGATACTGTTTTTAGTCGATTTAAATTAAAAAAAAAGTAGAAAAGGTGAAAATTTGAAATTTTGCTTGGTATTTTTGTACTTTTTCTAATAAAAAAGATTTTTATGTTAGAGAATAGCAACAAACAGTAGATTTATGTGTTGTACATTTCTTAGCTATATTCCAAGTGTGAAAACTATCTAAAAAACGTAGAATATTTTCTTTAAAACTTCACAAATGGCTCGAAAATGGAAATTTTTGGGTTTTTATTAATTTTCTAGGTTTTAAGTATAAGAATACTCAAAAATATTTAGAAAAAGTGTGTCCCCCCGATAATGCCTAAGCGCCAAGTAATACGCTATATCGATAGATTTATATGATTTTTTAGGCAATCGCGAGTCTCTGCGTCTCTCCGTGCGGTGATTTCACGGGTGTTGGCACGATGGAGGGAACGGTGGCCATCCTCGATACAAATGACATGAAGACGCTGCTATTCAAACCAAAAACACACGGTATCAATTTTCTACTTATTTCTATCGCATTTTGTAGGGATTTTTGTGACGAGCCTCGAATTTCTGGATCGAGTGGCCCGCGATCTTCCCAGTGAATCGACACACCAAAGTGAGAATTTGGCTGGTTTTGAGCTAATTTTCTGATTTTTTTCAGATGGTGCTCCTACCCCTGCTCAGCCGATCCTCCCCGGTCCATCAGCTGCCTGTCGTGCCTCTCTCGTCTCTCTATCGGCCGACAAGACTGTTCAGGTATTTTTGCCTTTCGTAAATTTAATGGCCAAAAAATGGGTCCTTTTGTATTATCGGGGGGGGGCACAGTTTTTTATCAGGATTCAATTTTTGTGATATAAATATAGGAAGTGTTTTTAACCGTTTTTCCATATATGAACGTAAAAGGTTTACAAATTGTTAACAAAAGATTTTCGACAAAATTTCATATTTTTAAAAGATTTTATGAAATTTCTAAGTTGTTTTTCACTAAAAATATAGTTGAATCTATATGGAGATACTTCTATTACGTTACTAGACTTTCTATTTGCCCCCCCGATAATGCAAAATAACCCCCAAAAACCCCTTTAATTTTCAGTTGCATCAACTGCCGTTCCCGGAATTGCCGTCTCTATCATCTGCTCTATTCTGGACTGCCCTTTTCCTCCTTCTCATCCAATTCTTTGTCGCATACTTTATCTTGTGAGTTTCCCTCTCTCTCTGTCTCTCTCTCTCTCTCTCTCTCTCTCTCCCTCTCTCTCTCTCTCTCTCCTCTCCTCTCTTTTCTGTGTTATGATGATGTTGACGGGTTGTCTTTCTTTCTCTCTCTTCCTCCACTTCTAATCCTTCAAACAACAATGTGATCCACCCCTCATTCTGCACATCATTTTTTGGGTTAAATAAATTATTTATTTATGGCAGACCGTGATAATAAATTTGAGAGGTATGGTAGAGAAAGGTGGCTCGTTTGCAGTCACTTCGCACAGCTGCTGCACCAAGACTTTAATTTTGGCCGACAACAATGTGGCGTGGTGACTGAAAAGAGAATTGAAAGCGTTATAAGTATTTATTGTTCTTACCTTTCGATCAAATTGTATGGTTGCCTTGTTGGGTTGATAATAGAGAATAGTGGTATCTTGTGGAATAGCAATTCTATTGACAGAATGCCATTCTTTCGATATGATTGTCCTCATTCCCAATATACCACCAAACTACAAATAAAAGGGTTTTCAGATGGGATTACCTTTTTGTTGTTTACTTACCCGGCCTTGTTTTTGATTGTAGAAGCGAAAAGGAATAATATTGAGGCGAAACAGGGGTTTGTGATTGTCTGCTGGAGGATTCTGAGGAATGAAGGCGAGAAATGTCTCCCTCTCTCCCTCTCTCTCTCTCTCTCTCTCTCTCTCTCTCTCTCTATCTCTTTCTCTGTCTCTCTCCCTATCCCCCTCTCTGTCTCTCTCTTTCTCCCCCCCTCTCTCTCTCTCTCTCTCTGTCTCTCTCTCTCTCTCTCTCGGTCTCTCTGTCTCTCTCTCTCTCTCGGTCTCTCTGTCTCTCTCAATCTACTCCACATTGATAAAGGCAATTACAAAATATTTATCAACCGTATAATCACAGAGAATCGATACACAATTTATGATCTAACCAGATCAAAAGTATCATCCGATACTTTCCAGTCGAATTTTATGGTCAATTTGAGTTTCATGATGGCATCCATCCCCAAGACGTTTACTTCGGAAAAGTGGGCGCGTGAGATATGGCATCGAATCTTCTTTTCCCGGTCCTGAACATTTTAAATAAATCATTAAATGGCAAACAGGCAAAAACAAACCTGAATATAGACGTCGTATTGGTGGTTGGTGAAACCAGGTCCGATTAGCCTTTCGAGTGTCTTGACAGTCAATGTGGTGAAGGGCGAGCCCGTATCGATCAGAAACCAGACATGTAGAACCGGTCTATTCGGCCGTACTGTAAGTTTTCATTATAATAACGTGGTTAAAGGGACATTCCGGTCTCGTTGAGAAATATAAGATCTTATATTGGTCAAAACTGTAGCACGCAGGGTTAGGGTAGGTGCTAAACGTCGGGCAAAACCGAACCCGGACCACTCGCTCTCGGGCAAGCACCAGAGGGGAGAGGGGCTATGAAGGGTCCCGGCGCGCAGCCGCCAGGCCGCCAAATTCCCTCCGCTGGCCAGGGTTCCAGAGCGAGAGCCGAATGTACCTTTAAATCCTTGTACTTACCACAATGTTGACAAACGAGGGGAGCCATTAAACGAAGATTTCGGCCATGGATTTGCCCAGTAACTGGAAAAGGCGTCGATGAAAATGAGCCGGGCGATAAGTTTTCACAATCGACGGCCACTCCCATCTAAGAAAACGAATATTAGATAAAAGATTAAAACTACACCCTACCTCTTTCAATTCCTTTTCGTTGATATCCGGTATGACAACGTCAAATTGACTATAAGGAAAGGCGATCAATGAATCTTCCGAAGGTTCCTAAAAATTTTTAGATTAACAATTAATAAAATAAATTAATTTAGAAAAATTTAAATTAATTTTAATCGATTTAAAATTTCTCTAAATCAGAACGAAATCTTGCAATCTACTGATTTTTTGGAAAGCTGTAAGATAAATAAGAATTGAAATTTAATTTTAAGACATAGAAATATATTACTTGAGTAGGATTACAATTTCAAATGGAGCATATATCATAAAACTCACTTTAGAAAAGTACTTTGATGATGGATGGTCCTCGTTGAACGCCAATTGAACTTGTCGATGAGACATCTTGGTAGTCCCTTTAGAACCCTCATCATCAGCGCCATCGTTTGAAGGTGGCGGCAATTTGGACGAGTTGTTCACCGAATAATGGCATTGTCTGCAATGGCATTCCCATATTGACTAACACGACTGGTTTGCATTAAAGGCCCTATCATCACAATCACACACCAACAATACAATGATTTAATTAACTTGTGTTTTTCTGTAGATTTACTGAAACTATAGATAAAAAGAGAAACATACTCTGGCTGTGGGGACCATCGTCCGGATGCGCTGGCCGCTGAGACGATCGATGAGCATGGGCCATTCTGCAGTATTCGCGAGAAGATGCCCAGCATCTGCCAAAAATGCGTTGAACTCAACAGCTAAACAATACTAGCAATAAAAAAAACGCATTTACCAGAAGGATTATCTGATTATTTTTGAACTAGAAGTTTTTTGGATAGTTTTCTGCCTAAAATTATTTAACTTTACTATAAAACATTTTAAAACACTCACTATTTGCGTTATCGGCGCTTTAGCTGATACAAAAGTCGCCCCCGATAATGCGCAAGAACTAACTGAAAATCGGGTGCAGAGGGCAAACTGGCAGCGATTCCTTGGCGAAATGAGGCAATGATGAGTCACTTGCCGATCGATTTGCAGATATAGGTCACTTTATACCCCCAGGGTATATTGGAATGCATCGACTGATTGCTATTTATTGACACGATAAGCGGCTTATTTATTTAGAGAAAAAAAATGGAGATTTTAGGTACTGGGCCTTTAGCAGGGGGGAAATCCAATTTTCCCAGAAACACTGTACGGCCTGATACACGAAATCTAACCCATTTTTATAGCAGTTTACACCGTTTTCAGCTATATAAAAAAATTCGTAAGAAATTTGGCTTTTTGTCAAAGATGCATGAAAAATGGCTAAAAAGGTCAAGATTTTCGATTTTAAAATTTTTATAGATATTTTCCAGAACTTTATGGCAATTAAAAAGCTATTAAAATAAAAAATACTGTATGTGACATTAATAAAAAGGCATAGGCGGAAAAATAAAAGTTACCCCCCTCCCCCGCAAACAGTCCAGTACCCAAAACAAGAATCACGCATTACGCCATTGGGCCAGCTAGCAGAGATAATTTGTGGAATTTATTATTTGACAGGTTACCATGTCCCTTTTTTTCTTTTTGAAAAGGTCGTGGTCGGGATCGGCTTCTCCTCGTCCTCCTCCCCTCTAAGCCCCGCCCCTATTCCAGCTGCTGCTCCCCTTTCCCTCCTCCTCCTCCCCCCATTTTCTATTATCCCGACCCGGTCAACCTTCCTTTTTCCGAATCAATTATTTATGATAGAAACATAGCCAGAGAAGGCACACCTCCACAATACACCAACTGACACTTTCACACAGACAGAGATCGTCTACCGTATTCCCTCGTACTCTCTCTGTCTGTTTGGAGATGATATTGTGGGATATTCTTACAGCTGGTCCCGAAGCCACATCAATGTTTGAACAGACACTCCTTTATGGACAACAAGGAGCACAAGAAGCCATTCAATTTGAGCATGACCCCGAGATTCATCTGCAGCTGGGAACGGTAGTGTAAGGAGGAGTGTAGTGTAGTCGATTCTCGAGTATGGCGCCCAAAAAGTGGAAATATTCGAAAAATAAAGCTACAAAACTCTTCTGAATGTTTTTAATTGCTAAACTGACTCGTAGAAAACACATTTATCGCACTGTTTCAGCGATTAAAGCTACAGTACTATTTTTAAGATTTTTATGGCTAAACTGGCAGCCAGAAACACGATTTATACGAATATCTTACCGAATAAGGCTAGAGTAACTCATTATTTGAGCCTCTTAATGGCTAAACTGGGAGCCAGTGAGTCGCTTTTTACGAATATTTCAGGCATTAAAGCTACAGTACTTTGTTAAGCCGTTGAATGGCTAAACTGCCATCCATAATTTCGAAATTTCAGTCGGGCTGGTCGGAGTCGATGCCGGAAGATGATCTACAGTATGAAAAGATGACGCGCGCATGGCCGAGGCATTGTTTGGGGCAAATACCCAGTGCTGAGGTATTTATTCATACTTTAAGCACCCCATAAAGTCTTGCATAATTTAAATTGCCTGCCAGTTCGTCGAAAATGCAAAAAATAATATTTATACGGTAATTTTGTGTATTTCAGGCTTTGTCGGCGAGTCTCTCCTCAAATACCCCTCTATCTCTCCTCCATATTGTCTATAGTTTTATATTGCTAAGCAGTCGTGTCAATTGTCTCAGCGATCATTATTCTGAGGTATCATTTCTTTATTAATTATCTGAATTAAAAAAAACTCTAGATTGATGATGTCACGAAAATTCTGGCGTTGAATCCACGCTATAATAAAAACGCCTATCCCACACAGCATATAGGTGGGTTTCTTTCGGGGCAAGCTGATTTTTCGGTGCTATTGCAGTATCGTGGGGGGGATGAATTTTTCTTCCTATACGCTCGAAAAACGGGTTAGAAAACTTGGAAAAAGCCTAAAATTTTGCGGTTTTTGCCAAAAATTGCCATTTTTGAATTGTAAAATTTGATATTTTTTGAGTTTTTATACATCAATTTTATAGACGTTTACGCCCAGTAAAAATAGTGTAGAAACGCCGCTTTATCAGTAGGAGAAAAATTCACCCCTCAAGGAAAATTTATTTTGCTGCCCATTTGTGAAAAACTCGCTCTTTTTCTCGTCTTCTAATCCCGAGTCCAAACCCCCACTATTCAAAAAGCAAAATTTTGAAACCCCCGGCGGGACTCGAACCCGCAATCTTCTGATTAGAAGTCAGACGCCTTCGCCATTAGGCCACGAGGGCAGAGGGGAGAAGGGAGGGGGAGGGGATTGTATGGCAACAGAGGGCCGAGGGGGAGAACCCCACCTGCCACAATACCCCAATACGCCCTCAATAACACAATAATCCGCTCGCTTTTCGCGAGTTTTCCGGTTTGTATTCAAATTAGCATTTATTTAAGGTTAGGAAAAATTCGAATTTGGTCGTCTAGGGCTGGGGAAAAGCCTATCTGGGGCTCTGATCAGCCAGACCGAGCTAGAAAAGCCAGACATCCGACGCGGTTTTCGATTAAAATTTTTGGGTTGTTTGAAAAACAGCGGAAATTTGGAGCTGGTTTGGGTTTAATCCGATTTAAATGGGGTCATCGGATCGAAGATTTTTTTGTTTTTCTGGCTTGATTATAACGATTTTTCGGGTTTTTAGGCGTCAAGAATTCGTTTTTTCCATAAAAATGGATGTTTTGGATAGTTTTCCTGTGTTTTGCAGTTGTTTTGAATATTTTCTTTCTACCTGACTGTTACTTCAGCTTTTCCCACTCGATCTGTGGCTATTAAAACATCTAAGACCATTTTTCATCGATTTTTTTTTATGAGATAAAGGACATTTCTGTAATCTTTCCTAATTTTTGGATCCGATATCTTGGAAATCTGCCAGCCAGACAAGCGTTCGGCCGTCGATTCAAGACTAAAATGTTCGCTCTTTGTCTCTTTTTGGGGGGATTTGGACACGCAAACATTTGAAGTTCTCGGCCATCCCCGTTCACACGACCCAATCCCCCCTCATTTCAATCTACATTCCAGGCGAGAGATTGCTCTCTCTCTCTCTCTCTCTCTCTCTCTCTCTCTTCTCATTTAAATGCCCTCTCCCCCTGCTTATCCATGCCCTGGGGCCACAATCCGTCCCTCTCCTCCCCCCTTCCACTCCGCTTCAATCCAAAAAACAGCCATCCCCTCAGTCCCTTCTGGGGGGCTAAAGCAAAGTGTTTCCGATGCTCAACCCACCATACACTGCAAAAAGGGACCTATTTCACAGCCCCCCGACCTCTCAAAACTCAAAATGTCCACCGTGATGCCTAATTACGGGTGTAATGAGGTGTGTAACGGAAGTTTCCGTAAACTCAAGCGCGACTGATATAAACCTCAGACAGTCTAGCAATTCCAGCAAAAAAAAACGCATTTTTATGCCCATTTTCGGCACCGTAGAATTAAAATTTTAGGCCAGAGTGGGATTGCTAGTTCAGACTTCCGAAATTACACCTAATTACAGGGCGTAAAGTGGTGTATCACGGAATTTCCCGGCAAGAAGCTGCTAATCTCAGAAACTGTCTGCCAGTATCGCCATCCCACCAAAAATCCCAAAGTTTGACACAAATTTTGATTTCTAGAGCCTTTTTGGTCGATCCTAGCTGTCCCCGTCCCTTAAACTTCGGTGATGGTAACTTTTTTGCCTACTGGTCTGCAGATCGTCGATTGCTGATACCCGGATGGGACATGTCGATAGAACTGGAACGGAATATAGAGAGAAAAGAGGGAAGGGAGAGAGACCTCTCGATGTCGCTATGGGACCCTAGGGACCCTCCTTCTCCTTCTTCCCCCCTTCAGACAGCTCTTGCCCTCACTTTTTTTATTTTTAGGATGAGCATGAAGGGGGCAGTACCCGGCTATGTGCTCCCTTAAAATATGATGCAAAGGGTCAAAGTAGGAATTTAGAAAAGAATTTTTAAGAAAACCAGAAAAATTTGAGTTTTTTGTGATCCAAAGGTATCGATTTGGAGAATCCCCCAAAGAATCTCTGCTGGCTGCCCACGATCTCTCAACTGGCAGCCAGTTAAGGAACTGGGCATGCTAGCAGAAATTTTTGGGGAATATTTTTGTGTAGTGATGCGATATTTTGAGGTAACAATGGCTTTTCGAGTGCATTGTATTGCGGGGGGAAGTATTTGTGCCTTGGGGCGGCATTTTTGCCACATTTTGGGCAGCTGTCGTGTATTCTAGAAGAGGGAGAAGACGCCCATTCAGAAAAGAGACGGCAAGACAAGAATTCACTAGTAGAAAATTGCCCCTTCCCCCCCCGCTCCACACCTCTGCAAAAACAGAAAAATGGGGTTCTTTCGCGTTATCGGCGGGGTTCTTTAAGTCTATAAATGCTTAAGAAATTAATTGGAGGTATTTTAATAACGTTTCGATTAAAATAATACTGGATTTAAGCTGGAAAAATTATGTAAATGTTCGAAAATTCGAAATTTTGGTAAAAAATGGCGATTTTCGTACAAAAAAAATGAATATTTTTTGTATTTTTTGCAAAAATTTTTCAAAGTTTTTACGTTTAGGAATTGTAAAAAAGAGTTTAGAAACAATTCCGCTATGTTTATTTCGAAAATTGGACCCAAAGTAAAACAGTTGAAGAAAAAGGGACTGGGTGGGGAGCTAGCAGAGGCCATTTGTGGATCCAAAAGAGGGCGATGTTTTGAGAGAGAAGAGGGTAATAACTGGTGGATGACAGCTGACCCATTCCATCCGGAAAGTGTGGCCGAAATGGGCGAATGATCGATTGCAGGGCAATATTTTGGGGTGTCTGGCTGGAAGGAGGTGTGAAAATGGACTCGGGGCTGGCTGGCATGGGTTATTTGGGGAAACGGGGGTTAATTTTGAGCAAACTGACAGTCCGTTATCACGAAAATCGGCCGGCTGGCAAGCTAGCAGAAAGTGTGTGGGAAAACGGCACCCCCTTGCTTTTTCCTGGTTGCCAGATTGGCTAAAATAAAGGTCGGGGTAATATTGCAAGGAGTTTTGGGGAATTTTTCGACGAATTTGTTGTATATAGGCCTCGGTTTATCGATTTTCTGTCTAGGGCCATCGAGCAGAGGCCATTTGGGGAGGCAGAGTGCACCTATAAAGCCCTTTTCTGTCTCTCTCTCTCTCCCTCTCTCTCTCTCTCTCTCTCTCTCTCTCTCTCTTCATTATGACGAAAGCCCCATTTTCTTTTCTTCTAATTTCTCAAGTACCTTCCCCCGATTTTCCATTGTTCTCCCTAAATTCCGCAGAATATACGGGAAATTATTGGGTGCAGAAAGCCCCAAAATTATTAGGGGGAGACGAAATAGTGTCTAGCTAGATTCAAAATCGTAAAAGGGCCTTTGCTAGCTTGCCGATTGCTCGATTTTTGGGCTTTGGTAGCCAAATATGTCACTTTCCGCAAGGATCGCTGCTAGCTGGTCCTCATTTTGACTATTTTTGGGTTTTCTGGCAACCAGATGATCCAATTTTTGGGTTTGCACGAGATTCCGAAAGGATCTCTGCTAGCTAGCCTTTCTTTTCTAGGATCATTCACCCATTTCCAGTCGACAAAACCTTCTGGAATTTAGCGGGTGGGGGTGGATGGGAGAGAGAGAGAGCGAGAGAGCGAGAGAGAGGCAGAGAGAGAGAGAGATAGAGAGAAACCACATTTCCGTTTCACTACTATGTTGCGGTGGGATCTGAGCCAGAGAATGAGGGAAAGAGAGATCTCCCTCTCTCTCCTCCACTTCTCGACTTCCCGTTCGAATTTCACGCTTCAGGCGATTTTGCAAAACCCGGGTTGGTGGAGGAGCCGCGTACCTCCTCCTCCTCTAGGGGGCCACCGAATATTGAGAAAGAGGGGAGGGCGGAAGGGGCAAACTAGCAGAGATCATTTGTTGAAAATGACGATTTTTATGTTATCAAATTTTTGAGTTTACTGACTGTCAGCCCGCTTGGCGGTTAGCCAAAATTCGAATTTTCCTACTTTAAAGGCAGTATGACAGGCCTATTTTTGCTCTAACCTTTGCCATGCATTTTCGCTGTTTTTCCGATCCGTAGTCAGAAAAACGATTCTGAAATCGAGTTGCAAGACGTTGGTGGGCTGGCTGACGGACTGCCCAACCACCTAAATCCCTGCAAAATGGATCAAAAGCCACGGGGGGCATTCAATTATTGGGTTGGCCGGGTGCCAGGATGTTGATTGGCCCACAGAATGGGAGGAGGGCAAACTAGCAGAGACAATTTGAGGGGGAAATACACCTAAAAATACGGGTTTGCACCTAAGCTTACAGCGGACATCCTGAAAAAATTGAGATTCCGCAAGATTCTCTGCTGGTTTGCCCCGGTGGTCAATATTAGTTTTTTGGTCGTCAGCCCCCGTGTTCAACTACTTCAGATGGACGGGGGCATCATCTTCTAGATGCACACAGATTGGATTCTGCTCTCTTTCTCTTTCGCTCTTTCTCTGTCTCTCTTTCTCTCTCTCTCTGCCACCGCGTGAGGGTATACATATAAGGGTCAACATAGCCAGAGAAAGAGAGAGAGAGAGAGAGAGAGAGAGAGAGAAAGAGAGCGTTTTAATGAAAATCCCGAGGCGATCCACGCGCATCCTTGAAACCTGAAAAAGTTTGCAGATACGGGGATTATGACGGGAACCACGTGGGATTTCGATAGAATGGAGAACAGTTTAGGGAATGCGAGGGATGGAGAACGCGAGAAAGAGAGAGAGAGCGAGAAATAGCAAGTAACTCTTGAAAATCGCTTCTAAAACGTCCGAAATCAATCGAATACCTCTACTGGCTGTCCTTTTGGCTAATTTCCGGACTGCTACTTATTCCATCACTTTCCTCTTTACACCCCAGAGATGTTTTCTGGAACGCTAACTGATGTCCTCTCTCGGCTTCTCCTCTCCTCTCGATCTGTCAACGGCAGATAATGACTAAAATAGTGCAAAAATGAGGGACACTAAAGCCAGAAGATTCTAATATTATTAAAATATTTGGAAAAAGCCATTTTATAGGAGCGTTGAAGTGAAAAGTGAAGTAAAAAAATCCGTTTTTGCAGACCGTCCAACGGAGGTGAAAGTGCAAATGTATGTGGAGGGAATGTCATCATTTCGGGCACAATCTATGGTAAGAAAATCTAGGAAGGCTAGCAGACATTCTTTAAGGATTTCTATTTTGACGGGCAGACCGGCAGGAGAATTTGAGAAACTCTGAAAAATACCTAGAAATTATGTGCAAAATTATCTAAACTGGCGGGCACTCTAGCAGAAAACATTTGGGGAAAATGATTTTTCGCTTAACTGGCGGTCAATAAATGGATATTTGATAAAATAATGACTTGAATTTTCAGGATTTCCAAATCGACATTTATTTGCAAGAAATGTGGATCGACGAACGATTACGACATAATAATACAAAGCGGATATTGATCAAGGATCCAAAGTTATTTGGGTACGTTTTCCAAGTTTCTAGAGTTTTTAAGTGTTACAAAGTTTATCGTTATTTTTACTTTTTAAATAGTCTAAAAAAGGCTTTTTACAGCCTTATCTGGCATCCCGACCTGTATTTCGCGAATGCTCGTACAGCCTCATTCCACGAGGTAACCATGCCCAATTTCTTGGTATGGATCTATCCGAATGGGACTGTATGGTATGATGCCCGCGTATCCGGGGCCATACTATGCGCACAGAATCTTGGTAAGCCTTAAAATACCTTTGTACTTTGTAGTTTTGCTATTCGCCGAAAAATCTGAGATTTTTGTAGTTTATAGCCTGCACTGACTTCGAGTTTTTAATTTAACCAGTTTTGTATGTTATCTGGGCTACAAACTTAAATTTTGTGTAGTTTGTAGTCTAGACTGGCTGACAGTTTATTCATTAAACTGGTTTTTGTGCAAACTGGGCTACAAAGTGCAATTTTATAAAGTTTATAGTCCAGACCGACTGGTAGTTTACGTTTTTCAAGCCAAATTTTTTCAGAGAAACGATTTGTATCTTGTGATTTTTCCTCTATTCAATTACGCCATGAAATAAATGCTGTAGTCTGTAGACTGGCGGTCAGAAAATGTAATAAATCGCGTATATTTCAGCCAAATACCCACTGGACCGTCAGATGTGCTATTTGCGGATATTGTCATGTCAGTTTCCAGATTTTTCGATCGATAATCCCTCTCCATTTAGATGCCTATGATAACGAGCAATTAGTGATCTCCTGGAATGGGGAAGTGCCAATTGATGTGAATAAGAAGAATCAAATGCCCGATATGAAACTGATAAAAACGGAATTTCGAATACGCAATGATACCTATGCCACTGGTACGTTCTTGGCCTTTTAAAGGGATTGGGACAGCTAAGAATCACGAATTAAGCGTCAAGAGGTAAACCGGAATCCAGCCTAAAAGTTGCAATCGTTTTAATTTCCGATTCTATAATTAAAAATCAAAAATTCGGTTTAAAAAAATCAAATTTTCGATTTTTCAAAAATTCAACTTTTTAAAATTTAAATTTACGCCGTGATGTTTAAAATTTTAGGCGTATGGTCGTGTGCATTGGCGGAATTCTACGTGGATCGGGAGATAATGCATCACATCATTCAATCCTATATTCCCACGACGCTAATTGTCATTATTTCGTGGTTCTCGTTTTGGTTGGATGTCGAGGCCGTACCAGGTTTGTGCAATCTTTTTCTATTTTCTTCTTGAACTTTAGCTATATTTTAAGAGGAAAGGGAAATTCTAAAAACTTTAGAAAATCAAAAAATTGTTGTTCAAGAAGTTCGGGAATTTTTTGGTCAAAAAAATCGTGATTTTTGCATATTTTAATGAAAAACCAGGAAAGCTTTTGTGATTTTCGATGAATCTGCCTGCCAATCCCTCGATTTCAGGCCGTGTCTCGCTCTCTATCACCACTCTCCTCACTCTCGCCACCCAGAGTTCAGCTGCCCGGATGGCCCTTCCACAGGTATCTCTCTCTCTCACTGCCCGTCTCTCCCTCTCTCTCTCCCCTCTCTCTCTCTCCCTCACTCTCTCTTCCATTTCTAGGGCGTAGGCGGCGGCTTCGAGTCAAACGACGATGTAATTTATGCAGTTCCTTTTCTCTGGTGCCCCCCATTTTCCCAGTTGGATCAGCCGGCTTTAAAGGGGCTGTCAAGGTCCAAAAAGTTGGAAAACAACCAAACTGGCTGCCATACAAGCGATTAAAGGGGCAGCGACAGCAAGAAAAACCCTGAAAAGCCGGTTTATCCCACTGTGAAAACGCGTTTGGTGGATTGTTTTGACCGCTTGACGCACCTAATTACATTGCGTAATGCATTCCCTTCTAATTCGAGCCGCTAATATCTTCTGTTTAACGCTATAAAAACCGGATAAAATGAGTTGAAAAGTACAATTTTTCAGGCGTCATACGTGAAAGCAATCGACGTGTGGATGGGTGCATGTATGGCATTTGTATTCTCGGCCATGATCGAATTTACGGTCGTAAACTATTGCACGAGAAGGAAACCACATAGAGGGGGAACAGGAGGAAGAGGAGCTGGACAAGAAGTACGAGGATTGACACAGCAGATACATGATCTTGTGAGGGAATATCGACAGCAGAGGGAGCAACAGGATAAGGTACCCAAATTTGGAAAAAATCACAAAAAAAAATTTAAAGAATTTATAAAAAAAATATTTAAAAAATAAAAAAAAGGCAAAAAACGTCTAAACAAAAAAAAATAAAAAAATAAAAATAAAAAAAAAAATATTCTTAAGGTTTTAAAGGCTACTTATAAAGTAGAAAAATATTTTAGCAATTTAACAGGCTTAACTGGCAGCCATTTAGTAGGCTTTTGCAAAAATTTCGATAAAAACTGGCTCAGAAATTTTTTAAAGTAATTTTTAGCCTTAAAAGTACGCGTAAATACCAAATGACGACCTATATTTTTCAGCTGCAATCCTCGGCCGTCTATGAATGTTCATCCCTGGTCAATGGGGATGGACAGACACAATCTGTGCTGAATAAAAGACAAATGAGAGGAGGAGATCCATCTACAGCCACTGACACCCCTCAACCATACTTCTTCCAAAGGAATATCATCCCCTCTACAAGGAGGAAAAAGATTGAAGAAAGGTACGGTAGAAGTTACGGTAGAATACGGTAGAAAAACGAAAAGGATATGGTAGCTGGGGCACTTTTAGCGCAAAAGTAGCCATTCACAGGCACTCACATGATATGGGTGTCGATAGGAGTGTCGCGTAGCTCACTGGCGCATATTAACAAAACTAACAATTTTTTAGTTTTAACCGCTTTAATAATATAGAAATTGTATAAATTAATGTTGGATCGTTTGAGAAATGGAAATATAGCTTTAAAAAGTTAAATTCAAGTTTAAAAAGTTTTTAACGCCTAAAAGATCGCTCAAACGATGCAACCCGTGTGAAATGGCGTTTTGTAGCAAATTTTCCCTGGCTAACCTTTGAAATATCTCTGTTTCTCTGCCCTCTCTAATTCTCTCTCACTCTCTCGCCTGGTCTGATGAGAAATACCGTATCTTCGACTCTAAAACCTCGAATTAAAGTGCTGACGGCGTGGCCTATGAGCCAATGAAGAAGAGCGGAAGGCAGATACGACAGGAAAGGTAATAAAAATCGAAACAATACTTCTATTGCTAATGCCCTACCCCCTCCCCGATATTTATATTATTTTTACTCGCTAAAAACCGTTTAAAATGCTAAAAAAACTCTACAAAATCCAATTGTTCCGCTGGTTTTTGCTTGCTGAAACTAACAAATGGCTTGAGTAATGATAATTATAATACAATATTAATATTAACAATTGCTTGCCGCTTTTCGCATCAGCATGATTGATTTATAAGTATTGATTACATTTAATAATTTTATTGATTTTTTGAAGACAATTTAAATTGTTATAAATGCTAAAAATCGCTAAAAACTTACATCTACTTACAAAAATAATGAAAACTATCCTGGGAATGAGAAATGAATGCAAAAAGAATGCGGAATGACGCCCGTTTCAGCCCTAAATTTCCGGTTATCTGAAAATGCTAGAAACTCCAAACTACAGCCCCTCGATTTCAGGATCAACCGCGTGGAGGAGAACCGTAAATATGCTCAAATGATCGACAGAAGAAGTCGCGTCTATTTCCCCCTCGCATTTATTATATTCAATGCAATCTATTGGCTATATTATCTGATGCTGGCCCCCGATCATATTGATGATTTGGAAGAGTAATCTTGCTATTAATGCTTCAATACAAAACAAGTATGCTTCTCTTTCCCCTCTTTATTGCTTCAAATAGATCTTAGAAATCGCTAAAACAACCATGTGAAAATTGCCGGGTTTATAAAAATATTGTGTGCTTAAAAACGGCAATTTTCGCTAGAAACCGCTTGCCACTTTCCCAATCTTGCTGTAAAGCTAGAAATCTATTTATTAAATAGATTTGTGGGGCTTAAATGGCTAAAAATAACAAATTTTAGGAGTTTAGTACGTTAGAAAACGCTTGAAACCCCTTCAAAAACCCAAATTTAGATCTCGAAACCGACAACTACGGGCCAGACATCAATGATTCTCTCTTCGATGATGATGCTATACATTGCTCCTTTTTACAGCTATTCTACATATTTTGATGATATTTTTGTACATACCATACGACTATCGAAAAATGCTTTCAGCTGCCCCTATACCACATTTTCAAAAAAATCTGAAAAGATTATTTTCCGAAAATCAGGTCCCAACAATTACGGTATTTCCTCCTGAATAAATTCTATGCAAAATTCACGATAGAATCTTTATTCAAATCAACTCAGAAACACAGTAACTAACAGCAAAAATTAAAAATCAACAAAAACAAACAAGAAAAAAAATGGTGAATTTCTACGGGTTTTTTTCGTTGGCATAGGCGGCAGCGATACCCGATCTTCCCTCGCTGATTGATGTCTGAAATTGAAGGTTAGAGGCTACAAACTACAGACTACAACTCTATAGGGAATAACCGACAAACTACAATTTATTACAGAGAACAAAAACTAAACTACAAACTACAATTCAATAAAGGCTAAATAAAATAAACTACAATCTCAGGCGATAAACTACAAAATACAGGCGATAAACTACAATTCCTCGCACCTCTCCCTGCTCCTCGAATCGAACGCTATTATCCAGCCCGTGCCACGTTCGCTCCTTGAAATAGTCGCCTAAAAAATGTAATTTTCAGGGCAAAAACTCTCCACTTACCAGCGGTATAGAGTGTAATCTGTTGTTGTGCGTCCTTTCCTTCCTCTTCCCTCCTCCCATTAATGCGTACTCGGCCCGTCACCAGACTCACGTCAACCCCATCATCTTCTCCTGTTTTATGCTGGCCGATCGATCCTAAAAAATGAGATTTTTACACAATTTTGAAGTCGAGAAAGCTTTTAAAATGGGTTAGATTAAATTTTCTAGAAATACTTCAATTTTGGCTTAAAAACGCAAATTTTGAAAGCATAAAATGTCTACTAAAACATCATTTTTAGACGAACTCCAAACTACAAACCTCCCAAAAAATCGCAAAATTCGGCGCTCCACCCAGAGTCGGCGGCCCACGATCGGTCGGGGTTGAGCGCCATTTCCGCCTGAAACATCGAAGTCTTCAAAAAATTTCGAGAAAAAGATACCTCAAAAACCGAGAGGACAGGGCGAAAATAGTCGGAAGTGTCGATCAACACACCAAATGGACACGAGATCACGATGAACACGTCAATGTCCGAGAAGTTCGACAGTTTCGCCACATTTATCTGGAAAAAACAATATAGATAAATTTCATTTTAGGTGCTTTTTCACAGATGTCTTTTTTCTCTCTTTTTCGCCACAATTTCCTGGAAAATGGAAAATAAAGAATTTTCAGTCGCGATTTCAGCGAAATAGCCGTTTTTCTGTCCCTCTCTCCACGATACTCCAAATCAGACATGGCAAATCGGCCGGCCGATCGGCTTTTTCGGCCGAAAAAATTAGAATGCGGCCGGCCGAAATCGGCCGGCCGCCATTTCCGGTCGGCCGCGGCCGCGGCCAAATCGGCCGGCCGCGCGGCCCGGAAACGGCCGAAAAACCGCAACCAAATTAATTTTTTGGATGCTAATGAAGGGATTTACTTGGCCAAAAATGAGACTGCGGAATTTAGTTAAATAATGGGGTTGCGAGGGTCTAGGGTTAGACATGGTTACGACGGATTTGACCTGGCTGCTGCTTTGCTTTATCATGATTCATGACTAATTGCTTTATCGCCGGCAAAACGATTCAATTAAAAATACGATTCAGGAAACTCGTCATAGAAACATCCTGGCTAAATTGTTGCGTCACTTGAAACTACAAACTGAATTATATTTGAAGCTGGCAACCTTCCAAAAAAATTCGGGGTTGACATAAAAAGCACGCTTTCCCCACATAAAATAAAGATTATTAAATAAAATTTGGTAGGCAGGCATCCTAGGCAACAGTGAAAACCAATGCCCAAACCCACTCCTTATTTATTCAAAATTTAGAGGCGCCAGCGACACGTTTCTGTGAAACTTTTTCTCAAGTGTGAATTGTCGGCCGGCCGACGCGGCCGCGGCCGAGCCGACGAAAAAATTCGGCCGGCCGATCGGCCGACCGGAAGTCATTTACATAGAGTCGGCGGCCCGGAAACGGCCGATTTTTTTATGCTAATGCGGCCGTCGGCCCGTCGGCCGCGGCCGGCCGACCGAAATTGCCATGTCTGCTCCAAATGACACCATTCTCAAGCCCCTAAAAATAGTCCTTGATTTCTGAGTCACCGAGAGGAAGGGGAGGTGTGGCTCAGAAAACCGGATATCTTACGCCGGATTGTTTGGGAAACAGTCGAGGCGAGAGAGAGAGAGAGAGAGAGAGAGAGAGAGAGATACAATCATTTGATAGGTAGTGTTGTGTGTATTGAAAAGATCGGCCAATCGCTGGACAACACATCCACTCGCAAATACTCAATCAATCCGACCGATTCACCCTTTTCGAATCCTGTCATAATCCCCTCAAAAATGCGCTCAATTGTACTACTTGTATTTGGCTTTGTTTGTGTTAGTGATGCACTATTGGGATTCGGATTTGAGCAGGTTAGTTAAAAAAACTAATAGTTTAAAATTATCGTTCAAAAATTCGCTTAAACGTGGTTTTAAAGACCCCAGCAATGCAAATCTTTAGATTTTCCCCTTCTTTTTCTAGGTGATTTTCCCGCGCCCGCGACACTCAACGCATCCGCACGCGCTTATTTCCATGTAATCAGTTACTACGGTTTTACGACGGAAAAACTCGTGCGTAGCGTGCGTGTCGCGGCAAACCGCATCCATAGCATAGCGGATTACGCTTCAAAAAATAAAAACCCCTGTAAAATCCATATTAAATTAATAAAGCCATTAAATCTATAGAAAATCCATAACCAAAAATCCAGGATTATGACTTTCCAACCGCTTTAAAACCCCCGTATTTCTAGACAGCAGCGATCAAAGGACGGCTAATGTGTAACGGGCGACCAGCGAGAGACGTTGTCGTCAAAATGTATGACAAAGATCTCTGTAAGATACCTTATAAATACCCCCAATACCCCATGATTACAGTATTCGACTCGAAAATGGGCGAAACCAAGACGGATTCGGATGGATATTTCAGTATGGTGGGGAAGGGGAGGGAGATTAGGTAACCAATTACGAGATGAAATCCACTAGCCATTACAGTACCGTCGATGCCAAGGTCAATTTCTATCACAACTGCGAGAACAGTATGATAAGGGTCGGTTTTTGAGCTTAAAACAATGTATATATTGAAGGAAAACAAGACTCAAAAATTAACCCATATTTGAAGTGAAATCGATAAATCTATATTAAAAATAATAAATAAAATTAATTAATTCATTTCAAAATAAATAAATAAATCTTACGTAAATAAAGTCGATAAATTTTAGTGCCCCCGGAAATTCTCGATCTACCTGCCCACAAAATACATTTCTCATAGCAGCAACCCGGAACTCGTCTACGATTTTCATCAGGTAATCGATTAGGAGCACGGTATTTTCTACTTTAAAGGGCTGCCGACGGCATGTGTCGATCCCCCCCATCAACAAATTGGCAAGTAGCCAACAGGGGAGAGAGCGCGCCCCGGGGAGAGGCGCAGAGACATTTTCTTTTCCGCGCGTAATTGATTGACTATGCCGTCGGCATCCCTTTAATCCACATTAAAAACCTTAAAAAAATGCGTTTTTTTAGATGGAACTGGCGGGCCGATTCCCGGACGAATCGCACGATTGCCTACATCGATAAAATACCCAATTTTAATTTTCGCGAATTTTTCTTAATAAACAGTATCAATTAATTTTGATAAATCAAAAATGTCCCTTTCCAACGGAGATGACATATGGTGTCTTTCCCTGTTGTCTGCATAACTGTCGTAGTCGCGTGACAGCTTCTCGATGTCCTTTCACTCCCGTTGTCCCCACCACGATTCCTACCTGAAAAAGAAAAATTATTTCATTTAAAATCTTATTGTAATTTTAAGGATTTCAGAATTTTCGCCTAATTTCTATTTTATTTTACAAAACTTTATCATTGCCAAAATCGAATTTTTTTCAATTAATTTAGCTATTTTTAGACGTGCAAAATGTTTCGAAATTCATTTTCGGCATCGGTCATTTTTCCAGTATTTAAGGGATTATTTTAGCTATTTTTAACGCTGGAATTTCCTTTGCTGGAGCGACGAATTGCTGGAATTTCCTTTGCGATTTAAACCAATTTTAATTAACCATTTTCGATCATTTTCACTATTTTTCAAAAGCCCCGTACCGTTCTGGCGTCTCTGAGTTTTTCGATGAGAAATAGACGACGACGCAGCTGGCGCCAAGCTGTCGAACTGAAAAGACGGGGTATTAGAGGGTACGGTAGGGGAAAGGAGGGGAAGGAAGGGAGCCCCAAGGGCAAATGACATGCGTTGACACCTTAGGGAAACAAGAGAAGCAGGAAAAGAAAAAGAATTGGTGGAAAAGAAAAAGGTCATTAGGGGTCATTTTGGACGGATCCGCGGGCAAAGCGTAGTAGTAGATCGCAGAAAAATTCTGCCAGCAAGCTCTTCGAAAATATGAAAATTCGCTAAAAAGTCCCTAAAAAATAGCAAAAAAAAATCAGAATTCCTGGCCAATGCAACTCCAGAAACACGCAGAAATTCGTTTAAAAGTCTTAAAAACAGTAATAAGAAAATACAATACGCTAAAAAGTGTCAGAAACTAGGAACAACTTCGGATCCAGTGGCGCCCAGGCCTCCTAAAAAAATTACTTATTTCAAAGTTTCCAAACATCCAAAAGAATCACAATTTTCGGTATTCGAGCTTCTTAATTTCGACAGCTTTTACTCATCCCTCATTTTTGCTAACTTCCACCCAGCCAGTGGCTTGACTAATCCGTGCAATCTCAAAAATTTCCCCTGGATTTTCGCCTCGTTTCCGCCCGTCCAAACAATGCAAATCCATCACAAAACGTGACTATTCATGGAAAACCCTGGAATCCGATTGGATTGTCTTTTTGGTATAAAAAGAAAAAGAAAAGAATAGACATCTGGAAAAAGCGGAAAATGAGAGAAAAATGCAGATAAGGATCTCCTCGAATTCCGGCAACCTTTTGCCCCCATTCTTCTCTAAATATGCACTCGGAAAGAATCGGCATTGGAATGTTGCCATAGATAGGAAATGGACAATGGGAATTTCTCTCTCTCTGTCTCTCTCTCTCTCTTTTCCTCTGGATCGGGGTGTGGGTTGTTTTCTTTTCATTAGACGCCTATCCACCCTCCCTGAACTGTCGCTTTCTTCGAATGAGCACCAGCCTCCTGCTCCTCCCCACCTAAACTGCAGTTTTTCACCCTCTAGAAAAGAGAGAGGAAAGAGACAGAGCTATCGAAAACGGAGCGAACTTTAGGGTCACACTTCCCCCCCTAAAAGAGAGAGAGAAAGATGTGTAGATTGGCTGTATATAAAAGGGGCTCAATGGAAGGGAATTGTCACTGTGTGTCCCTTACTACAACAGAGACAGACAGACAGACATTATGGCCCGTCTTCTCGTAACTTTTGGTGCTACGGCAAGTGGAATTGCCATCTGTGGAGCGTTGATCTCTGTTGGATATCTCTTCAATGATATCAACAACTTCTACTCCGAGTCCCTCGAGGAGTTGGGCGAGTTCAAGGTACGCTTCATAAGGCTTTGCCATAACTAGAAAAATCCTCCTATTTTCTGTAGTTAATTTCTAGGTTTTCTAACGTATTCTACGGTTTTAAATCTAGCTTCTCTCGCACTAAAAAGGAATTTTCTGAAATTTAGAAGTCGAAAATTACGATTCTCACATCTTCTAATATTTGAAAACGCTTCAAAAATGGCATTTTCTAAACACAAATTTTGTTAATTTTTAATTTCATTTTATTTTAACCTTAATTCATTTCGTTTTTATTAAAAAACATTTTTGAAATTCAATATCCATGTAAAAAGAATTATATGCTCTGGAAATCCGTAAAAAATGCTCGAAACAAAAATTATTAAGTTTTCTGTAGCTAATTTAAAATTTTCTAACTTTTTCAAAACGCTAATCGAGCAATTTTTTCACTAACACCCGGGTTTTAACAGTTCTAAACAAAGAAAAAAACCGAATTTCGGAATTTCTAAGCAGTCAAAACTCGTAGAAAATGTTCTAAAACGTTCAAAATTAAATATTTTCCGCAAAAATAGAGCTAAAAAATTTCGAAATTAGATACAAAACCTATAAACAAAACCCTAAAATTCTAGGCGTACGCAAACGATGCGTGGTCCCAAATGGTGCTGACCACGGTCTCCTCCGGCTCCTCTCAATCTGGCCGCAACACCGTCTTTGGCCGCCACAAACGTTCGGGCTCGTCTTGCAACTGTGGAGAACAAGCTAGCAACTGCCCAGCTGGACCTCCTGGACCCCCTGGAGCACGAGGAGAAGATGGAACTGATGGAAATCCCGGACAACCCGGAAACCCTGGACAGGCTGGAATTAAGACTGCTTCTGATAGCTATGATGTGAAATCATGCATTGTATGCCCGGCTGGACCTCCTGGACCACAGGGACCTGATGGAAATGAGGGACCGGCTGGACAGCCTGGAAATGATGGACAACCAGGAGAGAAGGGACAGGATGGACAGCCTGGATTGCCTGGACAACCTGGAGATGCTGGACGCGATGGACAGAATGGACATCCCGGAGCCCCTGGAGGACCTGGACGCAACGGTAAGGCTTTTTAGCACGAAACTATGCAAAAAATATCGAAAATGGATTAAAAACATATTTTCAAAAATGTAAAAAACTTCTAGGAAATCCTTTATGAATTCTAAACGATATTCTATTAAAACTGGCTGTTTTTATAGTTACTTTAGCAATTTTCAGTTAGCAAAAAAATTAAATTCATGAAATCAAACATTTTTTACGCGCTTTTTCTACACAAAAAAGGCAAAATAGCAAAATTGACCCCCACCGCTAGCAAACCAGCACCGAAAATTCTAAAAAATCACCACAAAACGTTAAAAATTTTAGGAACCAAGGGACGCGGCAAGCCCGGACCCAAGGGAGCCCCCGGACCTCGTGGACCTGCCGGACAACCCGGACAGAACGGACAGGCCGGACAGCCCGGAAATGATGGACCACAAGGACCCGATGGACAGCCTGGAAATGATGGACAGCCCGGACAGGATGGACAGGTAAAGCAAAAAATACAAAATAACCAAAAAAAGTCAAATTAGAATTTAAAAATTAAAAATACTAGATTTTAAAAAATAGTGCAATTTTTTGGAATTTTTGCTATTTTGCACTTTTTGGCGAAAACTAGAAATTAAATTGCAGTCTAACAAATGATAATTTCTAGGCCGGAGTCGACGGAACGGAGGGAGCCCCCGGACCCGATGCCGCGTACTGCCCATGCCCGCCTCGCTCTTCCGCTATCGCCGGCAACCAGGCCACTGGTGGATATCGTCGTCGTCGTGCCTAAGCCATCGGCCAACCCAGATGACGATAAACATCTACTCAACAGCTCAGATATTTTAAGGGCGGAGACACTGGAATTTTGAGAGGGTACAGACAGGCCGGAATCTTAGCGGTTAGCTAGGCTCAAAACCGAAATTTTAGCTCTTTCTTAGATCACTAAAAGTTGCTATATCTAGGCGGCAGGCTAGCAGCGTTCCTAGCGAAAGCTAAAATTAAAGCTCCCAAAATGTGTTTTTGCACGAAAAAGACGTCCAAAATGGGCTGGGCCGGCCAGCAGAGACTCTTTGAAAAAGTTGAAACTGCCCAAAAAATTTCCCAAAAAAAACCCATAGAAAACGATCAACTGGCGCGGTAGGCTAGCAGCGATTCCTAGAGACATCCGCTCTAAATCCGATTTTTTTTCTTGAACAATATTTTCCACAATTTCCCAACCCCCTATTGGCCGAATTTCCAGCCCATCCCCGGATCTGAATCCCCCACTCTTTTTGGGGTAGGATTAGAATCTGCGCCGTGCCAATTCCGATCTGCTCAATTCCTCGAAATACACACCCACACAGAGCGACACTCTATACTCAAGGCAGTTCAGTTTTATCGAAATTCCGGGCCGAATGGAGGGGAAGGGCAGGCAGGGGAATGCCAAAGAGATTCAAGGTCTCTGCCCCTGTGGCAATCCTGTCCCGTATGCCCGGCGGAAACTTGCCACCTAGCCGGGGGGGGGAGGGAGAGAGAGAGTGGGGTAGAACAAGAGACTCTAGAGATACAGTGTGGATTGGCACTGTTCGCCCGTCCTCGAGATGGCAGCCCCTGATTTGTATAAAAGGTCGCTTCACAGGGTTGCGCAATTCAAGGCTCCGTTTCACATTTCGGTTGGCTTCTACTTCGCGCGTGTGAGTGAGAAAAACGATGAGTGTCAAGGTGGGTTCAATATTACTGCGTTTTTCCCTTTTTACCACTGAAAGAGCGACGCATTTTGTCAGGAGAAAAAATATGCAAAAAAAAACAAAAATTGCGTCTATAACCTAGAAAACAGCTAAAAATGCTTAAAATTTTACACAACCAGCTTTCTGCTTAGCTTTTATACCTTTAAAAGGCTAAAAATAGTATAAGAAATTATACAACAGTCTAAAAATATATAAAACTCCTCAAAACAAAGGATTTCCCTAACTTTAAAGTTTCAAAAAGGTGCAACTATTTGGAAAATAAGCTTTCTCCTTCACTTGTATGTCTTTAACAAAGCCACTTCCTTCACTTTTGAACATCTCACAGCGATAAATTTTTCTGACATCTTGAAAATTGTTTAAAAATCAGAAAATCTCACAAAATAAGCTCCCCATTCAGGTGTTGGCGACACTAGCCTCCGTCGGGAGTGCTGTAGTGCTAGTGAGTGCTGTGGTCAGCCTCGGCTATCTCTACAATGATATCAATTCATTCTACTATGAGGCCGTCTCAGATATGTCCGAATTCCAGCTATACGCCAATGACGCCTGGTCAAATATGGTCAGTTTAAACCTCCTACAAAGATCGGAAAGCCGCAAAAAAAGCTAAAAATCAATCAAAATAGCGATTTCCAGATGAATTGGGCACTTTAAAAAGATAGAAAAGTTTAAAAATAGCTAAATAGCGAGTTACTAGACGAATTTGGCACTTTTAAAAACATAAAAACTCATGAAAACGCTAATAAATGAATTTTAGATCACGAGCATGGGCCAGGCGAGCAGCAGCCAATCGCAACTAAACACAATCTTTGGCCGCCACAAACGATCAGCCGATAAATGCCAATGTGGACCCCAGGCGAAGAGCTGTCCAGCTGGCCCACCCGGACCCCCTGGACAACCCGGACAACCAGGAGATGATGGAGAGAAGGGAAAACCCGGAAATACTGGCATCAAGGGATCTGCTATTACTCAAGAGGATACACCCACTGGATGTATCAAATGTCCACAAGGACCACCTGGACCAAAGGGACCCGATGGAGCTGTGGGAGAAGCTGGACCGGAAGGAAAGAAGGGAGAAGATGGAAAGGGAGGAAAGAAGGGAGAGGATGGACCTGATGGAGAGGCTGGAGATGCTGGAAAGAATGGAGAGAAGGGCAAGGATGGAGAGCCTGGAAAGGCTGGAGAAAATGGTACGTTTTTAAGCAAAAACAACTTGTCTAAAATAATTTTAATACGTTAAAACTAAGTAAAAACGCACTATTTCTAGGCACGAAAGGAAAGGGCGCCCCAGGACCCCTCGGACCAATGGGACCCATTGGACCACAAGGAAACCAAGGAGCCGTCGGAACCCCTGGACAGCCTGGAAAGGACGGACAGCCCGGTGCTGCTGGACAAGCCGGAAAAGACGGAGAGAAGGGAAAAGATGGAGAAGCTGGAGTACAGGGAATACTCGGAGCCCCGGGAACTGATGCCGCATACTGCCCATGCCCCGCTAGATCGAATGCTATCATTGCACAGGCAAAGGCTGATGGAGGAGTTGAGGGAGCTGCTGCTGCTGCTGCTCCCGCTGATACTTACACCTACTACAGAAAATAGACGAGAACTAATAAAGAGGTTGTATCTCTAGAGAATGGAGCGGAAATACAGAGGAAAGAAATAGCAACCAAAAAAAGGAAAAATCGAGCAAGAAAAAGTGCATTTTTTTAATTTATACCTCTCAATCGAAATCTTCTGATTTGTTGGATTGTAGTGGATGACTTGAGCACAATAGGGGAAGGTGAGAAGAAACATCTGTAGAAGCGGACTCGACTCATCGCCAATAAACAGCACGCAAGAGCTGTCCGTGGAATCCGAGAATGACCGCGGGATCAAGCGGCCCAGGCAGAGTTTCTAAACATATTTAAAGATCTATTTTCTAATTTATACCTCGTTATCGCGAATTTCCCCATTATCCAGCCGTGCCACGAGAAGCTGTGGGTTTTGTTGGGAGAGCTCTTCTAAAAAATAAGCTTTAAAAAATTTATTTGTCCTATTTACCGATAGAATACGCATACGCGGCATCGGTCAGTAAAATGACGGAAGCCTCTATGTGGGCGCTATTTTCTCGAAATCCCTTCGTCACCTCATCAACGTTTAGAGGAAGACGGCCCAGTACATATCTGAAAAAACCCTAAAAAAATTTCAAAAAAATCTTACCTAACGGGAACGGCCCCGGTGGCTGTACTCAAACAACTATCCCCATAATGGACAATTGAATCACAGGGAACATGCGCAGCCGCTACCTCATCCACACAACAACTAAATTTGGCTTTAGAAAAGAATAATCCGTGATAATATACCTTTTATAAGAAGTATCCGCCAAAACATAGGCCCTGGCTTTCGTCTCTTTCTCTATTCGTTCAGCGATGAAGCGGGAATATCGGATGAAACGATCCGGGAATTGCAGGCCAACTTTTGCGAAGTCATTCTCGGTTATCCACGAGATTGTTGCTGGGAGATCGAAGAAATTGGGCACCGATTCTAGGTCCTAAAAAGAAAAGGTAGTTATAACGGTACTAGACTGTTAGCGGGGGAGGCTAATGCTGTTTTTGATTGCTAAAAAGCTATGATACACTTTTAAAATTTTGAAAATTCGAGATTTTTGACCTTTCTGGGGCCATTTTTCATGTTTTTGACCAATTCAAAAATTCTTGCCGTTTTTATGCGCTTTTAACATCCAAAAACTGTGTTAAATGCTATAAAAATGATTCAGATTTCGTTATAGGGTCGTCCGGATGATTGGGAATAATGCGTTGCCCCCCCCTGCTAACAGTCCAGTACCGTTACAACAGCCAAACGCACCAAAACGAGACTAGTAGACCCTTCGTCTGTCGGTTCGGGAGCAAGAGTTGTTGTGAGATGATCATCTGAGAATAGCCGTGGCCCTGCTGGTTCCATTCCAACTAAAAACAAAATGTTTATCTCATAAAATCGACCACGAAACAAGCGAATGGAAAACAATAAAATCAACTAAAACACTAATATCTATCAAAAATGGCAGATGCACAATTACAATTACAATCCAAACATTTTCTTCTTCGTAAAAAGTAATCGGAGATCTTGTTGAGCGACGGCTTCCTCGACCTGCTCGAATTTGGCGACATTCTCAATCTGGCCGTATGATGCGAGAGAGGGCTTAGAAGCCAACATCCTCCTCGAAACACGAATCAAATCCTCGGCCGTCACTTTGTCAATCATGGCCATCGTTTCCTGAGGTTTCCTCCTCTTTCCCTGAGCCATCACTTGTCGAGCCATATCCTCAAAGATCACTGGACGAATCTCGAGATTCATCATGATCTGAGATTTGAGCTGCACCTTCGCACGGTCCAGCTCCTCGGCGTCGAATCCCTTGGGGAGGTGGAGGAATTGATCGAGGATCACTGTCAATGCATCGTTGATACGTTCTGGAGGGGCACTTCCTTGGATACAGAAGAGACCAGTGTCCGCGTAGGAGTGGTTGAAGGCTGTGCATCTGAAAAAGAGGAGAGTTTAGAGTTAATTTCAAGATGAAAATAGGTTTTAAGTATTTCCGGTGGGTCCAAATAACGTTTATAACCCAAAAAAAAAAACAGTTGAAAACTCTAGAAACCCACTAAAACTTTGAAACTTTGATGGAAAATCGACAATTTTTAGTCGAAAAATTTGTACTTTCGTATTTTTAAATTCAGAAATCTCGAAAAATTTATATTTTCGGCATTTTAAGAGCTTTTTCCTATTTTTTAGCATTTAGAAAAGCGTAAAAACTTTCTGGCTTTATTTGGAGCTCAAGAAAAATTTGGATACCTCCGGAAATACTAAAAAGGAATAAAACATACCTATACAGCCAATGGCATCTATTGAGCACGCCATCATACAGCCTCGTAAACATTCCCTTTCCCGGGCCACCAGCCGAGAAAGATCCTCCTCCACCAAGCAATGCTTGCATCACACAGAACGCGATGAAATCCTCATCATGATATCCACAGCCCTCGAATCCCACGGCAACATGTGCCAAATGAGGGAATGGAGTGCCGATTCCCACTTCAGACAGATCAACAACTTGTCTCCAATCTCCTCCTGTATATTGAGCAGTACTCAATTCCATCTTCGGACTCTTGCTCACATCCACACTTCGATCGATATTCCAGATGGCCGATCTCTCATCCAAATGTCGAAGTGCCAGAGCATTCAATTCATCGTGTGCCATTCCAACTCCAGCCAATACCATCCGTTTTGGCGTATAATATCGACACATGTATTCGTAGAGTTTATCCCGCGAGAAATCTTCGACATTCTCGATTTCTGACGGGTCGACGTGACGCCGGAAGCCAAGAGTATTCGATCGAAAAGCCGCTTGGTGGACACGATCCGTCAAAAAGGGCTCGATCTCGATCTGCTTGCCCAGCTCGCTGCTCTCGAAGTTGCAGTTTGCAATGGCTTCCGCGATCTCGTCCTCATCGAAACGGGGCCGGAGGATTGTGCTCGAGATGATTTCCATCATTTCTTGCAGTTTCTCACGATGGCAAGAGGTTGCGTAGATGATTGTATCGCGGGTGGCTTGACAGTCGATTAGGGCACCGCTTTTCTCGATTGCCGAGAGGATGTCTTCCCTGAAAAAGGAGAGATTATTCTAGTTTTTCAGGATTTTCAAGACTTTTACATTCTGGGTGTCTCACAAAAGGGCAACCCCTGTAGCGGCGCGGAGGAAACTCGGAACAGTACGATTTTTATACCATTTCAAAGCTCTTTAAAAGGCGCGAAAAACAGCGTCTTAATTTCCATAAATTGGTAAGTCTTTTCCAAAAAATAACGTTTTCGAAAAACGCGTTTTTGTTACGAAAAAGTAGCAATTAACCTGTCGTAGTAAAATGCGTTTTTTTCACGGTTTTCGGCTAAAAAACCTGAGGTAAACTATGCAATTCCTAAAGCTAAAAGTGCTAGATTTCTCGCCTTCTCAAGAACTTCCGATTGATACCTAAATCATCAAAATCGGCGCTTTCTCCGGCGCGTTAGACGGGTATCCCTTTTCGGGTCAATTTTCATATACAAAAAACACACCTGGCATGCTTGAGCGTGGAAGCAAAGGCTAGCTTCTCGATGACATGTGTTGTGCCCTTGGGATAGAGTGCTTCATGACGACATCCACTCTCAATCGCCACTCCAAATGTGCAGTATTCGCCGAAATAATCCTCGCTGGCCACCCGTAGACCATTGTCGAGTCTGGAGACCTTCGTGTCGAACGGCTTGTAGTCGGCGGTAGATGATGAAGTGGTAGATACTCTCGAATGGCTGGCTGTTGGCGGGGAGATGGCCTCTTTCAATGACGTTGTCCGGGGGTCTTTGAAAGTGCTCAGGCGGCGGAGGAGACGCACGTTCGTCCTCTTCAGCATTACTCCTAAATTTAGTGATTAGTTTTCGCTTCAAAAATACCGAAATTCGCAAAAATGGAAAATATTAGACAGGAATTATGAAATAAACTATCTCGTGTTTCGTCATAATATTTCCTTAGCCAAATTCGAAAGATTGACAAGCGCGCCAGCGGCCGTTTTTAGTAATTAAAAAGATAGATAACTACTTGTTTTCATTATAATAATAAATATTACAGCAAAAACTAAAAAAAATTATTTTTCTGTTTCCATATCTGTACAATAAACGGTTTTCCCTTCCGCACAATTTTTCGCGTCTATTGTAGTGTTATGGTGGGCCATCCCCGGGAAGCCGCCATTTCATTTTCTCGAATTTTCAGAAATTTTTGCACATCAATTTCCTAGGCCATTTTTCGTTTTCTTGATTCCATCTTGTTTTTCTCTACGTACTTTGATTGTTTCCCATTCTCCTTTCTTCCCCAGCTTCATCCCCCAGCGCCGCCCCTCTAAAACCCCCATGCTCAACCTGGCCGACGAGGATGCGGAGCGGCGTTTCGTCGAGATGAGCAAGGACGACATTGTCCAATTCTACGCCTACTATCTACAACAGCCGGTGGAGCCTGCCGATTGCGTCGATGAGAACGATCCGAATGCTTGGTACGTTTTCTGTTTATTGTTTCCATAGCAACGTTCCGCTTATAGCCTCGATCTCGACTCGTTTGAACGTTCGATGGCCGCACGATATCCCGGGTTGGTACGGCAGCTGGCGGAACTCGACAAGAAGGAATTCCCAAGCAACAAAGACTTAGAACGCACCCAGAAGCAACGCCGTATCGAGCAACGGTTGCTGCGGAAAGAACGGTTCGTTCTTGGCCTTTGAATGGAATTAACTTTCATTTTAGGGCAAAGCAAACACCACCGCCGGTGAATCCATGCGAACGGCAGTTCTTCCCCCTGCCGAAGCTTACGGGATTGGCGGCTATACCCCGGATTGACGATGACCTGGAGCACGAAAGGAATGCTGCCGCACAAGTTCCGGTGCTTGGGCCCGAGCAGCGAGCTCTCTGCGAGCAAAAGCCACAATTGCAGTACCTAAAACAGGTATCAATCTTTCTCTGTATCTCAATATCTTTTAGATACATACGAAGCAAACGGGCCAATCTGCCTGCGGGTGTAGTGGTGCCTGTCCCTACAAATAACTGGCCCAATACCCCTCCTCTCCAATTTCCAGCTACGCCCTTTTTATCAGTGCTCACCTTGTCATATGCGATTCGTTTATGTTCCTCCCCTCCTCACTTCGATCTCGCCGTTTTCACGTTGTATTTATTTTCAAACGTTCTACTTTGTTTTTGTTCTCTGTATATATTTGTTGTTGCAGAAGATGGCCGTGCCGAAGACGAAGCCCGTTGTCAAGGAGCCCGAAGAGAAGGTCGAGTCCAGTGATGAGGACCCGCTTCTCGGTGATGAAGAGGGCGAGCTCAACGAGAACCAGAAGAACCTGGCCAACGCTCTTGGTGGTGACCACGCCGAACGCCTCGCCAAGCAGAGCCGCTCTGAGAAGAAGGCTCGCAAGATGTTCGCCAAGCTGGGCCTCAAGCCGATCACCGGTGTCTCGCGCGTCTGCATCCGCAAGTCAAAGAACATCCTGTTCGTTATCAACAAGCCGGACGTCTACAAGAGCCCCACATCTGATACGTACATTGTCTTTGGAGAAGCAAAGATCGAGGATCTATCGGCTCAGGCGCAGATGAATGCCCTTGATAGAATCAAGCCCAGCGAGGACTTTGAGACGGCAAAGCCTCCAGCCCCGATCCCGGAGGATGAGGATGATGAAGGCGAAGAGGATCCCGGCAACATCGACAACAAGGACATCGAGCTCGTCATGTCCCAAGCCACCGTTTCCCGCAACAAAGCCATCCGAGCCCTCAAGAAATCCGACAATGACATTGTGAACGCTATAATGAGCCTTACTATGTGATTAATTTGTTCGCCTGTTGTTCATGTCTTCTTTCCAGTCTTTCCTCGGTGCTTTGTTAATTTGTTGAAAGATAAATTTTCAGGTAAAATGGGTGACCGCGAGCGTTACGACCCGGTGCTGATCTCGATGTTGACGAGCATCGAGGGTGGCCCCATGCAGTTCTTCGACGTGTTATTCGACTTCTTTGCCAGGTAAACACTTTCGTCTTTGCTTTTACTTTTTTTTAGGAAGACTGACTTCTACAATGCGGACAAGCTGAACGAGATTCGAACAATGGTCATCGGATCATTTGACAAGCATTCTGCCACGGCTGTAAAGGTATACATTTCTTTTGAGCCTATACTGATTGAATTCTTTTAGGAAGCAAAGGAAAAGGCCCTTCGACGAGAACGGGAAGAGCAGAAGCTGGCCGAACGTCGTCGCAAGGAGAAAGAGGCTGAAGAGAAGCAGTCGAAGGTTGTGGAGATCACCGATCAGGAAGCCCGCGAGTTCGAGGCAAGGACTTCACAACAAGACGAGACCCCCGCAAAGGAGCCGAAGCGCGTGGAAACTGCCGAAGAAGGGGTAATTTTACTTTAGTTTATTTGTAGTTTCTTTTTTAGGAAGAAACCGAGATTGGAAAGTTGCTACCGAACTCTGGGAATGGTGCGGATCTGGAGAAATATTCGTGGACACAAACGCTACAAGAGATCGAGGTATTGCATCCTCACTGATATTGACTTTTGTTTTTAGATTCGTATCCCACTGAAGGCCGGCTTTGCGCTGAAGTCGAAGGACGTGGTGGTGGTTGTCGAGAAGAATCATCTAAAGGTCGGCATCAAGGGACAAGCACCAATCGTCGATGGAACACTATCCAAGTTGATCAAGACAGCCACTTCACAATGGGTACTCGAAGACAAGAAGGCTGTCGTGCTCACCTTGGAAAAGGTATTATTCTTTGAAACTTACTTTAATATCGCTTTAGGTAAATGACATGGAATGGTGGTCAAGGATCCTGGACACTGATCCAGAGATCAGCACGAAGAAGGTGCAGCCGGAGAACAGCAAGCTGAGCGACCTGGATGGAGAAACGAGGGCTATGGTGGAAAAGATGATGTACGATCAACGACAGAAGGAGATGGGACTACCCACAAGTGAAGAACAGAAGAAGCAGAATATTCTCAAACAGTAAGCCACATTTCTTTGGTCTTTATTTTCACTTTTTTAGATTCATGTCTCAACATCCGGAGATGGACTTCTCGCAGGCCAAGTTCAACTGATCGCCCATCTTTCGTGCTGTATTCTACCCTTTTTGCTTGTGATGATTGCTTCGGTTTGATAAATTTTTACTTTGTAAATGTTAAGTCTCTGGGAAATACACAGGAAATGGCTGGGTTGGCGTATCTCGTGGAGGTCTTCTTGTTTTGGACTTTGCTTTGATGGTTGGCGAGGATTCTATGGTGTGATGCAGTCCCTAGCTTCACCCGGTAGATGTGCATCAAGGCTGAGCTCTCCGATGTTGAATACCTGCAGTGGTAGGGGATTAGTTTATGGCGCTTTGACTTACCCTCCTCGGCACTCCACCCTCCGAAACGTAGGCCTTTGGGACCTCGATGACCACTTTTCGCCAGCATTCCTGGTATCAATTATCGTCGAGTGATTCTCTCTACTCACCGTTGCCTCATCATTACAATTATGGAGGATATAGACACGCGGTCGTATCGACCCAATCTCCGTATCATTTCCTGAAGTGGACATGGCTTTTTGTCTTTGTTATTTGGGGGTTACCATATACTTGAAAAGCTCCATTTTCATCGCTCCTCGTCTCCATCAACAGATCATCTTGGAACAAGCCGAAATCATACTCCCAGAATTTGATGCGGGCATTTGGATAGGGGCGCAGATTGCAGAAGAGCCTGCCCTGGATAATATTTTGAAAAAGGGGATAGCCAAACTTATTTTATTCAAAACTTTGCAGTAAACCAACCGTTGCAGCGGCGCTTTGGAGATTGCCAAGACAGGAAATGCCGTGGAAAATGGCCAGGAGTACGCCAAGATAATGAATAGTTGAGATCATAATAATATTAAGTATGTTTAGAGAAATAAAAAGGCAAATTTTAGTAGAGTCGGACTTCCTGCTGACTGCTATTGATTGGATTTGAGGGAGCGAGTCAGGGGGAAGAGGCGAGCCAGCACTTTCACTTTGGATTCGAACTGTTGAGTCACACTCCCTATTGCCTTTTACAGGCACGGTAGAGGCTGAAAAACCAGCGATATTACGAGAAGAAAAATAGCTTTTTCTAAAGTTTTTTTGAGTTCAAAATCGATATCAAAAACTCAAATTTTGGACGGAAAAATGTGTTTTAAAAGTTTTTTTACCTCATAAAATAGTGAAAAGTGCTTGAATGATGTTTTTGGATGTTTTGGTGCTGTTGGAGGTGTATGATCGGTAGTGGAGGGAGGGCTTGGAGATAAAATATGGATGAGGGGGAACTAGGCAACAAGGGCATGTCTCTCTCGTCAATAGAGAGACCCAGAAGAAGCCCAGTATTCCTAGATGGTGCTTATTTTTATTTCAATAACAATTATTTACTAAATATCGATTAGAAATGGATGATGACGATTTCAAGGGATTTGACATTGGGCAACCGATGGTTTGGGTTAATGGTACGGGATTTTTATGGTAATCTAGCACAGATTATTGGGGATTTTGTCAGCTAAAAGAAGATTAATAGCTAGGCAATCTAGCAGAGATTTTTGCGGATTTTTTGGGCGGAAAACGCGATCTAGCAGTGATGATTCAAGGATCTTGTCGATTTTAGAGACCCCAAAAGCTACAGAAGAAGGCCCAGTTTTTGGCCCAGAAAATCGACCAGGAGGAGCTATCGAAAAAGAAGAAAAGTATGTATTGAAAGAACCCCTTCATTGTCTAATTTTTTAGAGTTCAACCACTGATAGAAAACGAAAAGTTCGTAGAGGAAAAGCCGAGAAAATCGAGTATAATCCTGCAAGATCCTCCAAGACCCAAACCTCAACCCCCACCCCCAAATGGCCCTCGATTCAGAAGATATGTCAGGGTTCCAAGGCCTGTTAGAGCACGTAAACTACATTATTTTATAATTTTACACTTCTTTATAGCCAGAAAATGGGAACACAACCCTTCCACCAGCATCTGCTGAAAAAGAAGAAGAAGCTGTTTATTATGGACCGGAGAATCGACCGGCAGGTTCGGAAAAATTTATTTTTTAGTTTAAAAATAAAAATGATAATAAGGTCAGTTTATTAAAAAACTCGATTTTGTGTTTAGATTGGATCTCAAAACCCCCAACGCCACAACGGAAGAGATCGGTGGATTCGGAGAAAATGACTGATGTCGAGACGCCGGTTGTAAGTTTTTAAAGGAATTTTACAGAATCTTGGCAAGATGATAAAATTGTTAAATTTTTAGCGTAAACCACCGCCAAAACGAACGCCTTCTTCCAATCGATTTCCGCCTCCAGGTACAGCTTACGATTTCAAGAGTATTAATTGCTTTTATATGTAGACGTTTTACTGCCTCCAGCACGTCAGGAAATTGATGTGGTACCGCTGGGTAGGTTTTTCAAACTTTAGAAACTAGCTAAAAACCTCAGATTTTTATCAACGCTATATAAACACTCTTTTTAAACGAATTCTAGATCCAAACGACGAGATGTTTTGGCGATCATCGTGGCAAGAGCGGAACCAGGGAAATATTGATGTTTCTGGCGTATTGGCGTGAGTTTCAAATTCGAAAAATTAATTTCTATGTTTTTCTTTCAAGAAGCAATTTTTATTTTTAAAATTAATTTTAATAGCTACTATATCTTATCTAGATTCTTTTAGCCTAAAATTCAGATATTCGGCAATCGACGTCCGTCCAAAAGCCGAGCCACCGCCTCTCCCTCCTATTCCACTTACCCCAAAATGCCCTTATCACCCGGATTGTGATGGGAAATGCCAATAAATCTGTCATTTATTTATTGCAAGCGAAAATATATGGAATTTGTAGAAAAAAACTTGAAAAGGCGGGGAAGGTAACAAACTCACCGCGTTAAAATTTGGCTTCAAAACAGTGCAAAAAAATTAATTATGTTTAATTCTGTCATTTTATCGAGTTTTAAGTACGGCGATGCTTGTAAAAAAGGAAAGAGGAGCTGACAAGATAAGGGGGAAGCATCCATTTCAACACAACGGACACCTGACTATCGATTCAGCGCTTCTAAAAGGTCTTTCTTCGGCTGTTGGCTTTCCGGATTTTATTGCATCCTTTTTTAAGACCCTTTTGTGTTTACCAACTTCCACATGCACATTCATTTCGCCATTTCAAACGGCTTTTTTCGGTTTAGTTTGTGCTCTTCAAGAATGGCGATGGTCCCGCTTGGAGAGGGTGGATATGGAGAAGTATGGCATCTACCGGATAAAGAACCGTAAGTATTGCTGATCTGCAACGAATGAGTGTCTCGAATAGACAAATGGTGATGAAGAAGGTTCGACAGACAAATGACACCGACAGTTATTTACGGTATTTGAAGGAGCTTAAAACATTGAAGGTAACTAACAATCAGATCTCTTCTAATAGTCCATTCCCCTTTTTCGATAATACAGGAAGTAGTCCTAGGAATTACATTAGGGCAAACACGGTCTATTTAGGATCTGATACATGAAAATGTGGTCCGATATTATGATGCTCCCTCGACCTTGAATTATCCTGGCATCAACCCAGACGATTTGTTGTTATTTATGGAATACTGTGAACACCTTTCGTTGCGACATGGTAACGTTTTTCAAGCAATTTCAAATGGATTTTCCTTACAAGGGAACCTCACGCGGACGTTGTGGAATTTCGTAAAACGCTCGCGGCTACCCCCGGGTAATCGACCATTGCTATCACAATGCGCTTGTCAGATTTTTCTAAATAGACCTGTGGACAGAGATACAGCATTTCCAGAAAATGCTGATTTACATGCGAAAAATTAGCATAGAGGGATAGTTTATAAGGCTCCCACATCACTCTGCAATCACCAGTTGAATGGCCGAGCGGTAAGGGACTCGTTTGATAGGATACTAACGGCGGTTCGAATCCGCTCACGACTTTTTAGTTTTGCTTTTTCGGCAGAGATTTTTGCACAAGTCCAGGAGCATGCGTGTTGAGGCACTTCTTAATCTACTATAATAATTTTGCTGTGGTGTCTGTCATGTCCCGAATTCAACTCGAAGGGGAAAGGAGCTAGAGCTTAGCTCTCTTCGGATTCGGATAGAGCGCGGTCAGAAACCCCCGAACTGATCAAAAAATTACGAAAAAGTTTTAGTTTAAATTGTTAAAATTAACTTTGAAAGTCTTTTCCTTAGTAAAAGGGGTGGGGCGGAGGTTGGGGTGATTTTGGACATAGTGAGCCAGGTGGCGCGCGTTTCGTGGATGAAAATTTTCACGGGGGCGATTTCATTTCCTTTTTTCCTCTCATTCCATCCGGTCGGTCGTTATTTTTGTTTTTTAAGGGGATTTCAGCCATGGGGGTATCTGAAGCTATCGGGAAGGTATTTAGGTAGTTTTTGAAGGGGAATTCGGCTATGGGGGGTATCTAAAGCCATCAGGAAGGTATTTAGGTAGTTTTTGAGGGGGAATTCGGCTATGGGGGGTATCTGAAGCCATCGGGAAGGTATTTAGGTCGTTTTTGAAGGGGAATTCGGCCATGGGGGGTATCTGAAGCCATCAGGAAGGTATTTAGGTAGTTTTTGAAGGGGAATTCGGCTATGGGGGGTATCTGAAGCCATCAGGAAGGTATTTAGGTCGTTTTTGAAGGGGAATTCGGCTATGGGGGGTATCTGAAGCCATCAGGAAGGTATTTAGGTAGTTTTTGAAGGGGATTTCGGCCATGGGGGTATCTAAAGCCGTCAGGAAGGTATTTAGGTCGTTTTTGAAGGGGATTTCAGCCATGGGTGGTATCTGAAGCCATCAGGAAGGTATTTAGGTAGTTTTTGAAGGGGATTTCAGCCATGGGGGGTATTGATGGAGGTGGGACAGGATGTGGTGGAGTGGGACATGTAGGGTAGCCCGAAGGCCAGATGGTTGCAGTCGCGAAGCGACTGTAACCATCTGGTTTTATGACAATTATGCTCACGGCGACGTCAGAAAATCATTCATGTAAAATTTTTGTATGTAAACTATCCCTCTATGCTAATTTTTCGCATGTAAATCAGCATTTTCTGGAAATGCTGTATCTCTGTCCACAGGTCTATTTAGAAAAATCTGACAAGCGCATTGTGATAGCAATGGTCGATTACCCGGGGGTAGCCGCGAGCGTTTTACGAAATTCCACAACGTCCGCGTGAGGTTCCCTTGTTAGTTATCAAGGACATCAACTTGGTCTATTCAATGGCAACAATAGCTCAATGGTCAACAGAAATGTTCAGTGCCCTCGAATATCTTAAAAGTATGAACATTGTTCATCAGGATGTCAAACCGGCTAAGTAGGTTGCAATATAAGGGGAATTTTTGATAATTTCTAGTTTATTTGTCCACGGTCCTGATTATGTGCTGAAATTAGGAGATTTTGGCATTGTCCGCGATAGGAATACGATTGAAAAGTATCGACGTGGAACTCCTGGTTATATGCCGCCGAAAATTGAATACGACGAAACGCAGGGTGGAGAGGTTAGCGCCAGGGTTTAGTGGCAAAGCTATGAAATATTTAGGACGCCTATAAATATGATATTTATGGAGCTGGATGGGTTGTATTGGATATAGTTAATAGAAGGTATACAGTGGAAAGTTCTGGAAATGCTGTATCTCTGTCCACAGGGTGGACGGTCACCTGTCCTAAAAATTTTTAATACCGTATTTCACCAAATTATGTGCATCTGGAACGAAAATGTGTAAAGGGCTGCGGACGGCATGTGGCGATCCCCCCCTCATCAACAAATTGGCAAGTAGCCAACAGGCAGAGAGCGCGCCCAGGGGAGAGGCGCAGAGAAATTTTCTTTCCAGCGCGTAACTGAATGCCAATGCCGTCGGCATCCCTTTAAGAGAATGTAGTAAGAAATGTTTAAGAGAAGTAGGACAGATGAAATGTCCTAAATGAGAGAGATGACAGATTTTGGTGCAATACGGTATAAGAAAATTTTAGGACAGGTGTCTGGCAATCCAAATTTAGACCCGGGAACCGAGACATTGAGGAAATGTTCAAGGATCATCGACATTTAGCTACGCTGAAAAGGCTTGTAATTGGGTGGGATGATTAAATTAAATTAATTAATATCTACTATCTCTACAAATCTACTATACAGGGTGTCCCAAAAAAAACGACCCATCTGGCATTTTGCCGTGTTACATCCAATCGGCCCCAAAATTGGAGCAGAGGTGTGTCAGGCCCTAAATAACAACAATCCTGATTTATAGCCCCATAGCTATAGTAGTTCTCGAGTTATAGCAAAAAAACAAAGTTTATTTTCCATTTTTTCATAGGGTAATCGTCAAATTAGACCTCTTAAACATTAAGTGAAAATGTTCCGGTAGGCCTTCTTTACCTTAAGAAATTTTTTCCGGGCTAAAATTAATCAAATAAGCGTCGATGAAGCGATTTTTACAACACAAAATTACCCAAGTTCTTAAAGGGATACCCAAGGTTTTGGAGGCAAATATATAGTTATGGATTACGGGCAGTACAAATGACGCGCGAATTTTGTGCGGCAATGGGGCGCCTTTGCCGCACAGAATTCGGACACCTTTCCCTCTTCTGGCGTCCCCATCCCACGCAATGGCTTGCCACTATGGCCTAATGGATAGCATCCAGGCCTACAAACCGGGGGTCCCGGGTTCGACCCCCGCCCGCGGCATGGTTTTTGCTTTTTGAGCCCCGAAAAGGTTGGGCATCCCTTTAAAGTCTGGTGCACCTCTGGTCCAAATTTGGGGCCGATTGGATGTAACCCGGCGAAATGCCAGATGGGTCGTTTTTTTTGGGACACCCTGTATATCCTACTATATATAAAAAAATAGTGTCTGTGTGTGTGCCACTTTGCATCCACTTCCGTGTGTCTGTCCGGAGGATATCTCAAGAAGGGACGGGTATTAGGCTACGTATGATACGTCAGGTATATGTCGGCTACGCGGGGGGAGATTTTACGCGGGTGGGACGGACCGTTGGGGCCGACCTAACTATTTTTTGCCTTTCTTTTTGCTACAAACAAAACTCTTAGTATATTTTTTGACGCTCTGTCGAATGGCACTAAAGAAATTTTGTAAAAACGCAAATGTCGAAAAATTGATTTCCTTCTATATCCTCCTTGAAAACAACGTTTAATACTTGTTTTTGTTATAACTATTTTATATTACATTATTTTGAGCTAAAATTAAAACTCTTAGTATATTTTTGGATGCTCTATCGAATGGCATCTTTAAAATGTCGAAAAAAACGGCGCGAATATCGAAAAACAGCCGCTCAAACCGATTTTCAAAGCTTATTTTTGTATTTGCCATAACTTTTTTATATTACACTAATTTTAGCTAAAACAAAAACTCTTAGTATATTTTTCGATGCTCTATCGAATGCCATTGCGAAAATTCGGAGAAAATAACGAAAACATCCAAAAAGCCCTGCCTGTCCCGTCTCCCCGCGTAAAATCCCCCCCCGCGTAGCCGACATATACCGATACGTCATTAGATGCGTAATGGTCTAGGGATGACCGCACACATATCAGATTTTTAAAAATTAGCCATTTTTGCTATTAAATTTAGATTTTGTAAAAACCTCTTTGTTAGGGATAATTAGCATAGAGCGGAAGTGGACGGTCGTCTATATAAAGAGGCAAAAGGAGTTGTTTCTCATTTTTTTTGTTTTCTGAATGAAGGACAAGTATGTAAAGGGAAGAATAGTATGGGGTCCGAGACGGGGCCAGGGTTGAAAAGTCGCGAAGCGGCTTTTCAACCCTGGTAAATTTCCAGACATGGCAACGGGCCCGGCCCCCGGGCTTTTTCGGCCCCAAAAAATTTGCATGCGGCCGGGCCGACGGGGCTCGGCCCCACTTCCGGCGGGGCCGGGGCTCGGCTTTTCTCGCCGGCCCCGGGTTAAGCCAAAATGGGGGCCGAGCCCGGGGCCGCAAGGCCGCACTCTAATCAGAAATCCCGGTTGTAAATCACTTTCAGCCAAAATATCCATGCAAATTCGAAAAAAATTCTATTTTCCAAGGTTGCCATACACCTCCAGCCAGATCAGAACAGGTTCAGACCCTAATTTTAGTACTCTTTGATAGATGGGACGAATTATTAAACAAGTTCAATGAATTTACCAAGACCGATGTCCTAACTGGAACAACGCACTTAAAATTTTCATTGCAAATTTGCATTTTAGCATCGGAATTTAGACGCAAATCAGCTATTTTAGTTTCCGGGGCCGAGCCGAATCGGCCGAGCCCGGCCCCGGAAACGTTCGGCCGGGCCCGGGCTCGGCCCCGCGAATTTGCATATTTTTCCGGGGCCCGGAAGCGGGGGATTTTTTCATGCAAATTAGATTACGGGCCCGGCCCCGGGGCCCGGCCGCTCGGAATTGCCATGTCTGTAAATTTCTAATGTCCGTGATCCCGACCGGGAATTCAGCCAGATTTTGCATTCAAATTCCAAATTCAAATTGTGGGGGGAGGGGAGGGTCAGCGCTGAGCCCCCGCGTAGCGGGGATCGGCGCTGGTAGATATTATAATTCTTTTTATTAGATGTACAAATGAAGAAGTTGCGAATCGATTGAGTGTTGAGGATGCTTTGGCCCATTGCAAAACAATGACCAAGGTAAGGTAAAATATCGACAAATCGCGACCGAAATTGCAGGAGTTCAAGAAATATCACGCAAAGCCAGATCCTGATCAAAAACCCGGCGAGCTAAAGCCCCCAGTTGGATTGAATGAAAAAGGAAAGCAGGCTGACGGAGAGACCGAGGAAATACATATCTCTGGGGTTGATACAACCTTCAGTTTATCCTGCAGTCTCCAGATGGCTCCAAAAGCTAAACAGAACCAATCGACGGTTACTCGACGAGAAAAACTACTGATGGATTTGAAACAGCAGTTGGGGGCAACTGCTGAATGCGGTCGCTTCACAATGGAAGATATGCTTTTATGCGACAACGCCGAAGCAGGCGGAATGAACCATGAATACTGCCTTATGAGCAGAAGGGAATTATGTGCTACAATCCTTCAAAAGCTGCTAAATCTCCCGTTTGAGGATCAATTGGAATGTGCTGAGGAGATGGAGAGATACTGGAAGGTCGATGCTCCTGAACTTTATAAAGGAGTTCCTGAACGTTTTCTACACGACGTGCGACAAGTAACTATTCATTCCACCGGTCAATTGCAAGAGTCAATTTTGGAAATTCTGGGCATGTTCAGAAGCCTGATTGAAATGGATGTATTTATTCATCGGCAATACCATGAAAGACAGCTCGAGGCACTGATTGAGACAGATCTCGGAACTCTTCCATCTTGGGATATCCTAAAACACCTCGATGACGCGATTAATATAATGAAAGAATTAGGGCAACTATTTGCAGTAAGAGCCATTTATCCAATTGTGACTATTCAAGGATCACGATATTCATGGTATTGTTTAAAAGAGGTGGGATTGTTGCGGAAAGATTGTACCGATACTCGCACTGAAGATAACTGGCCTGGACAAATAGCTTATATGGATACTGGAGAAAAAGAGCCATTAAATAATGAGCAGATGAGGAGGGCTTTAATTGATGCGAAGAACTCTTTTGTAAAGAATCTGTTGAAGCAGCGTGATACAATGGAAATGGTACGGTCGAATGGTCGCTGGGAGTCAATAACAATGGATGCTCTGTGGTGGATGGATATTTTCTGGTTGAATTGTCAAAAGCTGTTAGAGGAAGTGAAAAGAATCCCTGACCAGCCATTCCCTGGGTACGTATTTCTCATTGACCACCCTCCCTCCCATCGATGTCCTAAAGAAGAATGTAAAATTGTTGGCGGATTTCCAAGCTGGGCAGACCCCAAATGCCAAATCCACTATCATCAATGTTTGACAAAGGAACAAATAGAGTATATTGAAGTTTATACGTTGATGTTAAGCTCGATTCAATATATCGAACGGCGGCCATCAAAGTGGTTACCGGATTTCCTGGATTCATTGATTGAATACAAGGGAAGAGGCAGAGACTGGTCAGTCCCTTTCGCCTTAGTCGAGCTCTATGACGGCTCTAACGGGCTACTAGTTCAATATCACCCCTCAGTGGAGCGAGGAACGTTTCTCAACAACAAGATGAAAATTGTGTATTCCAAGGAGAAAGTGAAGTTTATGCGATTTGTCCTTGTGCGGTTAAGTGATCTGCAAGGCATATTTCCTAGTCGGCATATATGCGAATGTTTTTTGCTGCCTTGGTTCATTGCTGGTGAGTAGCCATCAGCTTTGTCCATCGCATCCCCAGGCCAAAACTTTCGAAATCTCTATCTAAGCGGGCGAGGTACCTAGCCAGCCGAAATTTTGTGTGGTTGTAGAGTAAGGTGGTGAGTGGAACATGCTCGCAAAATTCACGCGTCTCCCGTCCCCGCGCGGCTTGCGCTTTCAAATTTTGCGAACAGGCTCCGCTCTCCTTACCCCACAACTTCACAAATTTTCAGCCCTTTAGGTACCTAGCCCGCCTAAAAAAGATGCTTCAAAAGTTTTGGCCTGGCGGTGAACAAGTTTGGTAGCCATATCCTTTTCGACCTTTTAGCACGGCAAGACGGAACTGGGACATTTTGGGAAAATGTAACGTGAGTTGTCAAACCCCTCTAACTAAACTTTATATTAAGCAACCGAAAATTGGACAATGCTTTTGAGGAAAATATATCGAGTCCGGTTGAAGCAATTCTAAATGAAGGCGAATCAGGCGAGACCGGTGATCGGACGGACCGTGCCGAGTAGCATAAAAACGAAAAGCCAATAAATTTTGCGTTTATTTAATTGAAACGAAAGATGCACAAATTACAGAAAAACGTTCAAAAAGGCACAGATAACAGATGGAATGTAAAAAAATTACAACGCAACAATTCAACCAAAAACAGTGAAAAGCTTCATCCTAATTCGGTCACTTCTTGTTGATCATATCCATGTAGGCGCCAGTCAACAGATCCGCTTCAGCCACCTAAAAAGACAAAAACTAGCGCGCTGGAATCAAAATTCATACCTCCAATTCCCTCCTCAGATCATCGGCAATCTTTTGGCCATCTTCTAGACTTTGTTCCTCACGAAGACACACCTAAAATTATCGATACACTACACTTTACGAACTACAACTCATTACCTCCAATTCCATAAAATCCCCTAATCCGTCAACAGTATCAATATGTACTCGTGTCTGTCCGACCATAAATAACTGACGAATCTTCTTCACTTCTCCTTTGATGCCCATTGACAGGGAGAGCGTATCCTAAATAGAAATAGTCACTAAAAATAGTTGTGATGCCTGCAGATCTTTCAGCAATTCATCGGGGAGTATAGTCTTCTTGAATTCAGACAATTTCGGGCCGGCCACATCTGGGCGATTGTACCAGATTAGCTCGTTACGATTCTAAACTAAAGAATTGTAGAGAGAGAGAGAGAGAGAGAGAGAGAGAGAGAGAGAGAGAGAGATGGCTATACCTCTCCTTCCGTGGATAACATTCTCATCTTCAGCCTTCCATTTGGCGCTTCATAAAAGATGTCGTGTTGCTTGATTTCGGTTCCTTTTGACGAGCTGCAAAAATGAAAAATACTTCGAATACCTATAAATTAAATTGAATTCTAATGCTCATTAAAACTGAATGAAATACCATCATTATTAAAACCAATTCCCTACCTCAATTTGGCGGCCAATTCGACGATTCTCGCCAGATCCCTGACCACCGCCTTGATCTCCACATTTCGCGGCATTTTTCGGGCTTAAAAATACGAAAATTCGCATGTAATTTTCCTACAATTTTCCGGTATTTTAACGGCCGTTTTAAAATGCCTGATTCGTGTTTTAACGCGTTAAAAATTAGAAGAAATGTGCATTTATTGTGTGGCATTACAGGGAAAACAGAAAAACAACCAAAGAAACCGAAAACGAAATAAATAACAATTAGGGTGAGAGAGGGGGGGGATAGGGAAAATGGGCAACAATTAGAAGGGATTAACAACGAAATTTAAAGGGGAGAAATAGAAATAGAAATGGAAATAGATAGATACAATCACAGATTGATCAAACCAAATAGCGAAAGAAAGAAAGAAGGGGAATTATTACAACAAAATGAGGGAATAGATATCGCAATACAAATTAACAAACTTTCATTTATATAAATAAAGATATATTATGTAGTGTCTTTTAATAGCTGAATTTTCCTGAGTCTCTCGACGGCCGATGAAATATACGGGAGATCTTTGGGGGAACAGCGCAGGATGTCGGCTGCCAGCTTCGCGCGGATGCACAGTTTTCTGAAAAACATGAGTTAAATAATGATTGAAAATTTCCATCGGGTTCAAGCAGTTCAGAGAGAAATTTTTTGGTTATTTTCAGCCAATTTTCGGCAGACATGACTTAATTTGGTGAAAATCGCAGCCTGAAAACATTTTCAAGCAGTTCAAGCCCAATGGTGATTTTGCTACATGATAAAAATGCCCGCCGACGTCAATTTCAAGGAGTTCAAGCGGAAGAAATTCGTTAAATTCGTCTGGTTTTTTTTTCAGGTGAACTGCTCGAATTTGACGAAAATTGTTGGTTGACAATCACTTTCAAGCAGTTCAGGCAAAATTGATCTTTTTCAAAAGCGTTTTTGCCGCTTTTCAGCTGAACTGCTTGAAGTTGACGGACAACCAGATCGGCCTAAAAGCCTGAGAAAAGCAATAAATTGTTACCGAATAATATTGGGAGCAGCGTTCTCGGGGACGAGGGCCCTCCTCAACGCCATCCACACTTCAATATCATGTCTTGCATGCACTTCGATACGAACGGAATCATCTCCAACTGGCACTACCTGCAAATAGACATCTTATAGGGGGCTATTAACAGCCATTATACCTCAATGACCACATGGATAAAATCCCCAAAAAGGGAGCCCATTTGGTATCGTTTGCCGCTCTCATTCCACACCAGACAACACACGTTATTGCCTGCAAATATCAAGTAAAAATAAAAAAATATGTAAATACCGATGAGCTTCTTCTTATTATTGCATTTGTCGTCATTTTCGAGGCGTGGCATGAGGGTGGCGATGAGGAATACCTGGGAAAGTAGAGAATTACAAAGAAATTCGGTACTTTTGCATTAACGGGGGTGGTAGGTTTTTCGACGCATTTTTAGATAAATACGCCATAAAAACCCTTATTTTTTTAAGGACCATTATTTTTTTAAAGACCCTTATTTTTTTAAGGACCCCGTTACCGGCATAGAACCAAAAAATCTGTTAAAATAAGCTAAATAAAAATTGTGGTTTTCCTAGGAATTTCTATATTATCAGGAACCAATTCGGTTGCGCCCCCCGATAACCCCCAAAGCTCCAGAAAAAAAACCTCTAAACGCCTTACCATACTGCTAATCTCATCCAAATGTGTGTACGTATAATCTCCATTCTTCTCGGCAATCAGCCCTCCTCCCAAATCATGAGCCGTCGATTGAGGGGTGCCCAGGGATCTGAAAATGGGATTAAATTTTTTAAACAAAAATTAAACTTTTGTAAAAATGTAAATAATAATTAAAAAGGATTTCTAAACCAAAATACCTTTCAAGGGGAATATTTAAACGTACTTGATGAAATGTTCATATCTCTTGGTGCCATATGGATTAGAGAGGACATCAGTCTCTGTCGATTGTCCACTTCCCATAAATATCACTCCAACAGGATGAAGCTCTATTCCAGAGATACGGTCCAGATTACGGATACGCGTCGACACAAGGTCATTCGTATAAAAATAGCCATTTGAGCGTACTGTAGCTATTTTTGTACCTTTTTCGGGCCGATCCTCTTGGAGCCGGACAATCCGGAGAGGTGGAGGGAAAGAGACCCGTATTCATCCATTCCATCAACATCTAGGAAAAACATATATTATTTTATGTGCTAAAAATTAAATTTCTAAACCCCCAATAAATTTAGCTTTCGTAATTTGCTCATTAAAAATGATTGAAATAATTTTTACTAATTTTAAAACTCTAAATTTAGTTTTTAAAAGCTAAAAATTGTTTTTACCAAAATAATTCAATTTACAAAAGAATTTCTAACTCACTGGGCCCAAATCCAGCCTGATCAATCCTCCTCATAATCCACGAATCCCTTCCATACATATGACGCACAATCATCTGCGTCACGCTGATCTTTCCTTCTAAAATTCCACAACAATTTACATAAAACGTTAAAGTTACCGTGTACTTTCGGGATAGGCGTGAATTTGTGTGCAGCTTCGAGGGCCGTTTGATACGTCTCTACGGTACGGGGATTTTGAGTCGCTGCAGCACGCAGGTCACGCAGGATCTAGAAAATAGATTCGCGCGTTCTAAAGGGGCATTGCCGGGTAAAAAATGTGATCAACTATAATAAAAAAGTAAAGACGTCCGTCCGTGTGTCTGTGTGTCTGAAGCCGAATTCAACTCGAAGGGGAAAGGAGCTAGAGCTTAGGTCTCTTCGGATTCGGATAGAGCGTGGTCAGAAACCCCCAAACTGATAAAAAAATTATGAAAAAGTTTTAATCTAAATTATTAAAATTAACTTTGAAAGTGGCGCCTTAATAAAACGAGTGGGGGCCCCTCTCCCGGGAGGCCACGCCCCTTTTCTCTTCGCCCCTCTTTCCCAGGCCCCTTCGCGCGCCCAGATCGCTTTCTTAAGTTACTTTAATACTTTTTAATACTTTTAATTATGTTAATTCGTTATTTAAATCATTTAAAGTATCTAAAGCCATCGGGAAGGTCTTTAGGTAGTTTTTGAAGGGGATTTCGGCTATGGGGGGTATCTGAAGCCATCAGGAAGGTATTTTGGTAGTTTTTGAAGGGGATTTCGGCTATGGGGGGTATCTGAAGCCATCAGGAAGGTATTTTGGTAGTTTTTGAAGGGGATTTCGGCTATGGGGGGTATCTGAAGCCATCAGGAAGGAATTTAGGTAGTTTTTGAGGGGGATTTCAGCCATGGGGATGTATCTGAAGCCATCAGGAAGGTATTTTGGTAGTTTTTGAGGGGGATTTCAGCCATGGGGGGTATCTGAAGCCATCAGGAAGGTATTTTGGTAGTTTTTGAAGGGGATTTCGGCTATGGGGGTATCTGAAGCCATCAGGAAGGAATTTAGGTAGTTTTGAAGGGGATTTCGGCTATGGGGGTATCTGAAGCCATCAGGAAGGAATTTAGGTAGTTTTGAGGGGGATTTCAGCCATGGGGATGTATCTGAAGCCATCAGGAAGGTATTTTGGTAGTTTTTGAGGGGGATTTCAGCCATGGGGGGTATCTGAAGCCATCAGGAAGGAATTTAGGTAGTTTTTGAGGGGGATTTCAGCCATGGGGATGTATCTGAAGCCATCAGGAAGGTATTTTGGTAGTTTTTGAGGGGGATTTCAGCCATGGGGATGTATCTGAAGCCATCAGGAAGGTATTTTGGTAGTTTTTGAAGGATTTCGGCTATGGGGGGTATCTGAAGCCATCAGGAAGGAATTTAGGTAGTTTTTGAGGGGATTTCAGCCATGGGGATGTATCTGAAGCCATCAGGAAGGTATTTTGGTAGTTTTGAAGGGGATTTCGGCTATGGGGGGTATCTGAAGCCATCAGGAAGGTATTTTGGTAGTTTTTGAAGGGATTTCGGCTATGGGGGGTATCTGAAGCCATCAGGAAGGTATTTTGGTAGTTTTTGAGGGGATTTCAGCCATGGGGGGTATCTGAAGCCATCAGGAAGGAATTTAGGTAGTTTTTGAGGGGGATTTCAGCCATGGGGATGTATCTGAAGCCATCAGGAAGGTATTTTGGTAGTTTTTGAAGGGGATTTCGGCTATGGGGGGTATCTGAAGCCATCAGGAAGGAATTTAGGTAGTTTTTGAGGGGGATTTCAGCCATGGGGATGTATCTGAAGCCATCAGGAAGGTATTTTGGTAGTTTTTGAAGGGGATTTCGGCTATGGGGGGGTATCTGAAGCCATCAGGAAGGTATTTTGGTAGTTTTTGAAGGGGATTTCGGCTATGGGGGGTATCTGAAGCCATCAGGAAGGTATTTTGGTAGTTTTTGAAGGGGATTTCGGCTATGGGGGGTATCTGAAGCCATCAGGAAGGTATTTTGGTAGTTTTTGAGGGGGATTTCAGCCATGGGGGGTATCTGAAGCCATCAGGAAGGTATTTTGGTAGTTTTTGAAGGGGATTTCGGCTATGGGGGGGTATCTGAAGCCATCAGGAAGGTATTTTGGTAGTTTTTGAAGGGGATTTCGGCTATGGGGGTATCTGAAGCCATCAGGAAGGTATTTTGGTAGTTTTTGAAGGGGATTTCGGCTATGGGGGGTATCTGAAGCCATCAGGAAGGTATTTTGGTAGTTTTTGAAGGGGATTTCGGCTATGGGGGGTATCTGAAGCCATCAGGAAGGTATTTTGGTAGTTTTTTGAAGGGATTTCGGCTATGGGGGGTATCTGAAGCCATCAGGAAGGAATTTAGGTAGTTTTTGAGGGGATTTCGGCTATGGGGGTATCTGAAGCCATCAGGAAGGAATTTAGGTAGTTTTTGAGGGGATTTCAGCCATGGGGATGTATCTGAAGCCATCAGGAAGGTATTATGGTAGTTTTTGAAGGGGATTTCGGCTATGGGGGGTATCTGAAGCCATCAGGAAGGTATTTTGGTAGTTTTTGAAGGGGATTTCGGCTATGGGGGGTATCTGAAGCCATCAGGAAGGAATTTAGGTAGTTTTTGAGGGGGATTTCGGCTATGGGGGGTATCTGAAGCCATCAGGAAGGAATTTAGGTAGTTTTTGAGGGGATTTCAGCCATGGGGATGTATCTGAAGCCATCAGGAAGGTATTATGGTAGTTTTTGAAGGGGATTTCGGCTATGGGGGTATCTGAAGCCATCAGGAAGGTATTTTGGTAGTTTTTGAAGGGATTTCGGCTATGGGGGTATCTGAAGCCATCAGGAAGGTATTTTGGTAGTTTTTGAAGGGGATTTCGGCTATGGGGGGTATCTGAAGCCATCAGGAAGGAATTTAGGTAGTTTTTGAGGGGGATTTCAGCCATGGGGATGTATCTGAAGCCATCAGGAAGGTATTTTGGTAGTTTTTGAAGGGGATTTCGGCTATGGGGGGTATCTGAAGCCATCAGGAAGGTATTTTGGTAGTTTTTGGAAGGGGATTTCGGCTATGGGGGGTATCTGAAGCCATCAGGAAGGTATTTTGGTAGTTTTTGAAGGGGATTTCGGCTATGGGGGGTATCTGAAGCCATCAGGAAGGTATTTTGGTAGTTTTTGAGGGGGATTTCAGCCATGGGGGTATCTGAAGCCATCAGGAAGGTATTTTGGTAGTTTTTGAAGGGATTTCGGCTATGGGGGGTATCTGAAGCCATCAGGAAGGTATTTTGGTAGTTTTTGAAGGGGATTTCGGCTATGGGGGGTATCTGAAGCCATCAGGAAGGTATTTTGGTAGTTTTTGAAGGGGATTTCGGCTATGGGGGTATCTGAAGCCATCAGGAAGGTATTTTGGTAGTTTTTGAAGGGATTTCGGCTATGGGGGTATCTGAAGCCATCAGGAAGGTATTTTGGTAGTTTTTGAAGGGATTTCGGCTATGGGGGTATCTGAAGCCATCAGGAAGGAATTTAGGTAGTTTTTGAGGGGGATTTCGGCTATGGGGGGTATCTGAAGCCATCAGGAAGGAATTTAGGTAGTTTTTGAGGGGGATTTCAGCCATGGGGATGTATCTGAAGCCATCAGGAAGGTATTATGGTAGTTTTTGAAGGGGATTTCGGCTATGGGGGGTATCTGAAGCCATCAGGAAGGTATTATGGTAGTTTTTGAAGGGGATTTCGGCTATGGGGGGGTATCTGAAGCCATCAGGAAGGTATTTTGGTAGTTTTTGAAGGATTTCGGCTATGGGGGTATCTGAAGCCATCAGGAAGGAATTTAGGTAGTTTTTGAGGGGGATTTCGGCTATGGGGGTATCTGAAGCCATCAGGAAGGAATTTAGGTAGTTTTTGAGGGGGATTTCAGCCATGGGGATGTATCTGAAGCCATCAGGAAGGTATTTTGGTAGTTTTTGAAGGGGATTTCGGCTATGGGGGGTATCTGAAGCCATCAGGAAGGAATTTAGGTAGTTTTTGAGGGGGATTTCGGCTATGGGGGGTATCTGAAGCCATCAGGAAGGAATTTAGGTAGTTTTTGAGGGGGATTTCAGCCATGGGGGATGTATCTGAAGCCATCAGGAAGGTATTATGGTAGTTTTTGAAGGGGATTTCGGCTATGGGGGTATCTGAAGCCATCAGGAAGGTATTTTGGTAGTTTTGAAGGGGATTTCGGCTATGGGGGTATCTGAAGCCATCAGGAAGGAATTTAGGTAGTTTTTGAGGGGGATTTCAGCCATGGGGATGTATCTGAAGCCATCAGGAAGGTATTTTGGTAGTTTTTGAAGGGGATTTCGGCTATGGGGGGTATCTGAAGCCATCAGGAAGGAATTTAGGTAGTTTTTGAGGGGGATTTCGGCTATGGGGGGTATCTGAAGCCATCAGGAAGGAATTTAGGTAGTTTTTGAGGGGGATTTCAGCCATGGGGATGTATCTGAAGCCATCAGGAAGGTATTTTGGTAGTTTTTGAAGGGGATTTCGGCTATGGGGGGTATCTGAAGCCATCAGGAAGGTATTTTGGTAGTTTTTGAAGGGGATTTCGGCTATGGGGGGCATCTGAAGCCATCAGGAAGGAATTTAGGTAGTTTTTGAGGGGGATTTCAGCCATGGGGATGTATCTGAAGCCATCAGGAAGGTATTTTGTTAGTTTTTGAAGGGGATTTCGGCTATGGGGGGTATCTGAAGCCCTCAGGAAGGTATCGAAGTAGTGTTTGAAAGGGATTATGATGAAAGGGAAAGTGCTATGAGGGTTTTCTGAAACCATCAGTATATGTATTGATGAAAATAGCAAGGGATGTGGTGGTGTCGAATATGAAGTGGAGCCCGAAGGCCAGTCGATTACAGTCGCGAAGCGGCTGTAATCGGCTGGTAAATATTCTAAAAAAATACCCTGTCCTGCTCGTCCCTCTTCTCGGCGATTGATGCCCTAGATGAGGAAGCGGAAGTAGAGGGCTGGATGGCAGAAGCATGTCTAAAACACCAAAATAAAAACTAATAAAAATCCAAACCTTCTCCTAGCATCAGGATCGACATGAGGGGATGACCACGAGGTAATATTCTCCGAGAAACGGTCTTCTAAATATGGAAAATGGTAGAAAAATACGAATACAGTACCCTGATCGTGTTGTTCGATGGCTCTGCTGCCCTTTTTCACCATATTTCTCAGCGTGACAATACTATCCCCCGTTGAATATGTTGTCGATTCCACTTCTTCCTGCAAAAAATAAAAATTATATAAACAAATAAAAATTGCAATTTTTATTTTTAAAATTTGCTTAAATTTAATTCCTTACATATCCATCAACTTCGGGCATTCCACCAAAAACATGGGCAGATATTCGACCTAACCGGAAGAATTGAAGGAGCGCCGTTTGGATCTCTTTCATAAACTAAAAACAGATAATAAAAAATAAACGCCGTATTTGCACCTTTTTCTGTAGTTTGTGGCTGAGGCGTCCCTTTGATCCGCGTTGAAAATATTCAGAGGGTGGGGTGTTGCCTTGCAGGGAATTACTCGGTGAATCCTGCAAAATAGCGTTAAATAAATGGAAAACTTGAACTCACAAAAATTTGATAGGCTTAAAAATGCCTAAAATCAACCGAAAAATTTTTAAAAGTTATAAAAATTCAATTTTTAAATAGACTAAAATGAAATTGTGCTATTTATTAAGCAGACCTCATCAACCTCGTCCTCCATTCCATTGGCGTTCGGTTTCTGACTATCACTAGCGTGTCTCTGCAGCGCTTCCTCTACCTTCTCTTCGTAATACCTAAAAATATCGATCGATAATTCAAATAATGTGTCGATACCTGGAAATATCAGCCCTATAAATGCGTGGTACTTTTGAGAACCATCTCATGAGAATACGATGTGCACATACAACAACATAGATTGAATGCACTGTGATGTTTAGATAGGGCACCAGGATATCCACAACCATCTCGAAGTTTTCTTCCTGAAAAGAGGGAATAGTAAAATAAAGAATTCCCCAATTTTCTCTGCAAGTTCTTCCCATAAAAGGCTATAAATTTTACTAAATTAGATTCTGTCCTAAATTAAAAATCCAAAAATCGTTAAAAACGTTGGATAAATTTTCCTAACTTATGTCTGCTAGCTTGCCGACTCGAAAATTTCTAATGTCACAATAGCTTTAAATCAATACAATTAAAAATCCTCAAAATAACCCAATAAAAAATTCCGAAGTGATCTCTGCTAGTTTGCCCCTTAAAATCCTCATAAATACCTGGAAGATGGTGTGCAACATCTCAATGCCACTTGTGTCACTCATCAGTTCCAGCACAGGGATTGCTCTTCGAGGGGATGGATCGAGGGAACGGATCGTGAGGAGAATCTGATGCGCATACAGCGCCATTTGCTCCGGCAACATCTAAACCTTTTTTTCATCTCATTCTATTATATTCTAAGCTTTCATTTTTTAAATCTATCCGGCCGATTTAAATATAATCAAAAATCTAATTAATAAATTTTGATGTAATAAAATAATTAACGGACATTAAAAAGTACAAAAAGCACCTGTACAGCCAATCCACAAGATTGTATCGCCTCCGAGTGATGTCCGACTTTTATCTTGAGACATTCCACCAGAATCCGGCATACTTCACGTTGACGTTTCTCTTCGAGGGGGTAGTTCAGGATTGCGATCAGGAGTTGCGGAAGGTAGATCACTATCTCAGAATCGGCTACCTAATTCGAAAACAATAAAAATCATAAGTTAAAAAAATACCTTTAACGTCTTCAGCCTCTCAAACATGTCAATACATCCATCCAAAAGAGCGTCCAAATTCTGTTGACCGCAACTCATGATGAAATCGATCGACTAAAAAAATAAAATTTTAATTTTATTTTAAGGTACCTCTAGCGTGCGATTGAGACTTTTTAGAATAGAACGAAGCGCCTTCCAATGTGTCTCCTTCCGCAACGCTTCCACAATAATTGGGGCCACCAGATCGAACGACAGCTCCTTGCTTTCAGCCAGTTTTTTCTAAAAATACACTTTCCATTTCATCGCGTAATGGATTACCGTAGATCCCTTCAGAAACGTGAACGAATTGATGGTGGGGGCATAGTCGTACAGCTCATAGCGTTCTGCAAAAATTGCAGTAAAAATCCGTCAAAAAAGTAAACTTGAAATAAAAAAAACGAATGTAAAAATTACACAATACTGTAGAAAATTCCTAGAAAATCTCATTAAAAAACTTACGAATCCGGTGTGAAATTGGGCATGCTTGAATGGACAAAATAGCCGAGAAAATCCGCACTCGAACAGAGCCACCGAGTTCGTGGAACTTTCCTTGCTAAAAACAATAAATAAGCGGTTTCAAGCAGTCTAACTCGCTAAAAATTCTTGATACCGTACCTGATATTGTGTGGAAATATGGGCGACGAAAAGCTCCAAAATATCCCTCATAATATTGCCGGGGAATTCAGGGAATCGGGCAGCTGTGATGGCACATAATTGCTGGGCAGTTACCTCGAGATTTTCGAGTATTAGCCGGGCCGTGGAAGGGCCTAAATTGTTAAAAAAAAATAGGTTTCCACGCTTTAAAATTACCGCTATTAAAGCTGCTCCCAGAATTCTGGCGTTGTTTGAGGTGGTTGGCAATTTGGCGTTGATCAAGGTTCGTTTGGAATGAGCGGATAGAGGAATGGGACAGCCGGCGATCCCGACGCTAAAAAATGAAAAGTAGGAGAAGCCGGTAAAAGCATACATCTTCAACACCAAGCAATCCTTCATTGAACAGCTTCCGGGCAATGATAATGGCGTCATGAAAGCATTGTTCATCTACTGGGATCACTTTCAGGATTTCGAAGAGAAGGCTGATCATTAGCGCCTGAAAAATGGCTCGTTTTATAGCCATAAAACAATTTTTTTCACCTGTATCTTGGGATGTGGTTCTCTGGGGGCAAATCCAAGCATCGGCAGCACGACCCTTTCTACAAGTTCCACCTCACACATCAGCTTGTTCTGCTTCAGATATTCCTTGATCGCTTGCAACGACTAAAATCCAGTTTGAATCAATTACGAACATTTTAACGTACCTTTTCCCTTCTCATATAATTCTGCCGTGCAGGGAGTCCTTTTTGTGCTAGAAAATAGGGCCATAGGGCTTCTCGTAGTTCTTCAACCCAGCGGGGAGAGTAGATATCAACCATCTAAAAAAATTAAAAATCAATTTAAATTAACTTAAAATTAAGATTAAATAAAAATACATTTATTTTTCAAAACTTAAAAAAAATATTTTTTATATAAAATTACCGAAATTCGGTCCTGAATCAGCCGATGGACGGCTGAGGGCTCTTTCAAATCGCCGTAAACCTCGACAATATCGTAGACATAATTGCGGCACCAATGGACGAGGCCACTAAAAAAGATCGGTAATTAGCAGAGATCTTTTAAGAACATACTCCATTTCCTCGAGAGAATGGACCAATCGATAGATGACCGGACGACACATCTCTTCATATGCTCTGTCCTTTTTTGCATAATTTGTCGGCGGATTCGAGGACGTGGATCGTGTGTCGCCAATTCTCATCTGCGAAGCCGCGGCCATAGCGGAGGAGGAGGGCTCGCAGGCTCTAAAAAATATTTAAGACAATTTTAACATATTTAAAAACAATGAAATTTTGTTTAAAGGGCTGCCGACGGCATGTGTCTATCCCCCCCCCCCATCAACAAATTGGCAAGTAGCCAACAGGGGAGAGAGCGCGCCCAGGGGAGAGGCGCAGAGACATTTTCTTTCCAGGCGCGTAACCGATCGACTATGCCGTCGGCATCCCTTTCAAACAATTCAAAAGAATCGAAAAATCATTTAAAAGTTTCTAAAACGGTTTTAAATTGCTCAAAGACGATTTAAAAATACTGAAAAGTAACTAAAACCATTTCAAATCATCAAAAACAATTTAAAGAGCATTTTACAAGTATTCAATATCTATTTAAAAGTATGTAAAGCAATTTTAAAATTTAAAAGCTTTGAAAAACATGCGAAACCTTTTAAAGGTCCATTGAAGGCTCAGAAATATTGCCGTACCTCGATGACCTCCTTGCAGACGTGCGGATCGGCTCTCATGGCCATTCGAAGGGATGATAGATAATAGGTAGGGCTGCCCGGTTCCATCGTCTAAAAGTATTGATTTCTTAAACATCGGTTAAAATCCTTTACCTCGACTCCCCATCCAGATTTCGCGAGCCAAAAGACGCCCCCTCGAATGACTTGCACAAATTCTTGATGGCTATAGGAGAATCTGTCGGAATGGTGGCCAAAACGAGGGGCAGATTGGAGTAGTTCTTGGATGAGACCTCTAAAAATAGATTTACTGCGCAATAAAAATAACTCTACCGTGCCGTACAGCTAAATTGACTTCGCATTAATGCCTGCGCCACTGTCCACCCGTCATTTCGGAGGCTGTCGGCTAGCTAAAAATTCAAAGTAAATTTTTATACTCTATAAAACCGACTTTTCCTTTGTCTTCTATCGCCAATACAAAGCAAATGCCGAGGACCACCTTGTGATAGCTGTCTCCCGGAATTCCACTAAAAAAAGCGATAAATTACGTATAGAAATTCTGTACTTTTTCTTGGCCACAATACGTATAATTTCCAGACATCGTAGACTCAGTGCATCTCTCGTATTCATCGCTCGAACCGTGCAAATGTGCAGCATCTCTCGAAGTACGTCTTCTGACCTAAAAATTTGCCTGTTTTGCTGTCCATTTTTACTTACACAAAAGCCAGATTCTCCGTAACCATATTGATGGTCATTTTGAAGACATCCACGGCGAGAATCGGGTCACTTCCATCGATATATGCCTTTAGCCATTGAAGCACGTGGTGGTCCATTACCTAAAAACGTTTAAAAATAGATAAAAATCATATAAATCGTACTTTTTCGAGTCCTTCAATGAATGTGCCTTGTTTTGTCAGCGCCATCAGCCATTCTAGACTTCGCGCATCCAGTTCAGAGGTCCGGATTTTCTAAAAAATTGTATAAAAATCGTCTAAAAACCCACATCAAAGAATTGTCCCCTCAAAACAATGCCAATACTGTCAAATTGGGTCTGCGTGATGGAGATATAGGCCCTGGAATTGGTTTTATCTCGAAATTTCAACTGATTTCTACCTAATAACAAAATCCCTGCAATCCGGTTCGGTGACCAAATCGATCGATTGATGCACGATTCCCTCGATTGAGGAGACTTGCAGCGTTTTTGAGATCATTAGCTGAAAAAAGACATAAAAACGTAAAAAAGGTATAGCTATACCTCCTGTAATCTTCTCAACACTCGAATCCTTTCTCTTTTCGAATTCTTCTTCTCTAGGGCATCCCACACGAATTGCGCGATCGAGCCATTGTCTGTTATCTAAAAAACCGGGATTTTTTAATTTTTAGAGTTTCTAACCAGCGGTTCATCCCTGGCCGGCTCGCCGTCTTTTCGGAAGATTCGGCTGAAGAAGCTGCGACCTAAAAAATGTGGAAATCCTCGAAAAATCAGAAAAATTTACCCCCAGATCTTGGACTGCCATCATTACTCGAGGCGGAGGGTTTCGGGATTTTTACGCCCTTGTTAGAGCCCGTACTGCTCGCGCGGGAGGAGGCTCGAGGCTGAAAAACAGTAATAAAAAATTAAACAGACTCGAAATATACCGGTGATGCAGAATTGCCGGGTAGAGAGTCGGCGCCTGCAAAAAATATGTTTTTAAAAGCCTCAAAAAAAACGTGCCAGAATTGTTATTATTCGAAGATCTTCTCGCGCCGGCCACAATCGCCCCATCTTCATCCAACATCAAATTGTCGACATTATTCAGAAGAGCCTCGGTTCGTGGGGATGAGCTGAATGGCTCATCTTCGCCAGACATTTCTCATTACCCTGAAAAAAGCAAGTTTTATAAAACGAATCCTCGAAAATCCCAAAAATACATAGAAAGAATAGGAAAGCCAGTTCTTAAAAATATCTAGCACATGTTCTAAAAATCACAGAATATTTCTAAAAAGTCTCCGAAAGCCCGAAAAGTGATGATCACAACGAAATATGGATTGAATTCCCCGAGATATTAGTGAAAAGGAAAAATAGAACCCGATTTGAAAGGAAAAAAGGACAAAACAGCAATGCAATGCCTAGAATTTCATTTCATAAAAAAGAAATGGTTCTTTAGGATTCCCGGGGGGGGAAAGTATTCCCGTGGGGGGAAAACAAATTTTTCGGGCGAAAGCCTAGATTTTTGTATAAATTGCGGATGCGTTTCTAAACTGTTTTTAACTATGCCTGTGCATAAAAACTACACACATTTTAACCAAAAAAATGTAAAAAATTAAAAATTAGGTCGAAAAATAGACCCAAAATGACCAAATTTTCGACTTTTTCAAACATTTTTCTAAATTTTTCTGAAAGTTATTCTGCTTTAAATATACTTGAAACTTACTAAAAACAATTCGAAAACACTTTATATTTGATTACTAGGTCAACCGGGAAAACCAGGAAAAAAATTGGTTTCCCCGGGAATACTTTCCCCCCCCGGGAATCCTAAAGAACCAAAGAAATAGATATTTACAACTCCTTTTTCTTGTTTTGATTGTTGGAATGCTGCTTCTTGCTGTCCCACGCGTCGATGAACAATCCAATAAAGACGATAGCCGTGGCAATTATCTGGCGTGTCGATAGTGGATGGGCGAATAGAACGACAGAGATGATGATTGTGAACAGCTTGCGGGTTGTCGTCAAGATCGAGCAGGTCAGTGGCGAGAATTCCTCGACAGTTTTGAAGATGAAATACTGTCCTCCACAGCTCGATCCACATATGATGACCATCTCGAGGAGGACTTCCGGGTATCGACTGGCAAAGTGGATGAAGCTGAACAGCTCGCCGGTGGCCAATATCGTGATGGCGAGGAATAGAGAGGAGAAGATGTTCATGTAGAACATCATTGAGAGGGCTGTTCGCTGGTAGTGCTTCTTGATATGATCTTGGATTGCTGTTGTTGTGCCATCCAGAGTGAGAGAAGTTAGCTAAAAATGAGGAATAAATCGAAAACTATAATCCTCACCAATAAAGCTTCGCCAATCCCGATTCCTCCCTCAGTTTCGCTCGTATTCTTGTCTTTATACATAAACATTGCCACTCCAATGACAATCATCACCACTATGAGGTATTTCTTCAGAGCGTAGCGCTTTCCGGTCAGTAGAACACCGCATAGAAGCACCGGAATTGGCTTGCACGACTTGGCGAGGACCTAAAAATAATCTTATATTGCAAAAATGTGTAAATAAACAAACCTGAGTAGGATACGGCAAATACAAAAGTGCCTGATTACTAGCCACCATGGCAGCCAGATAACAGAATGCACATAGAGCATATATCCGCCCGGGGACCGTGTCTATCGTCTGTTTCGGCAGAAGAATGAAGGCAAAAGCTGCACTGGAGAGGCAGACGAAGAATAGCAGCGTTTGGATGTAGATGAACGATTCGTGGGCGGCGCCGAATTTCCCCTGGACAAGGCGTTCTTGATAGATTCCGAAGGAGAAGTAGCACAGCAGGATGCCGGCAGCACAGATGAACACGTGCAGGCATTCTTCGAGGTATGTACGCTTGGCTTCCGGCTTCAGCTTTATCGACATTTTCACAGCCTAAAAACTTTCTCGACTTTTTTCAATCTTATTTTCTATGTTTTCAAAATAATTCAAGCATTTTCTTAGCTTTTTCATGCTTTTGGATTCTTCGTGTCTACAATTCCAATGCTTTTCCGGGTATAAAAATTTAGCAACTACAAAATCTAAATGGGTCGAATGAAAATGGTTATCACAACTAGGTGGAGGGGACACAGGGATTGAGAGAGAGGGACATAGATACCAGATACATAATGGGGGATTTAGAAACAAACAAAAACACGGTAACAAGCTCACAAATTGTAAAACTTAGATCTTGGATGGAGGGGAGGGGGCTGATAGTCATTGTTCCGGGGCGGCCAGCGCGATCACTCCACAAGCGGCACGGGCGCCGGCGTTTCCGGTCTTTAGGCTCTCTTCCTTCTTCTCGCCTTCGCCCTTGCCTGGAAAGAAGAAATTAGTTAAAAAATGATTTTACAGCTAAATCGTTTTTCAGAGCGAAAAAACGGCTGAAATGCCTGAAAACGCGCTAAAAATCCATTGTCAATAATTTCAGGAAATTAGCATTAATGCTTTCAGTAAAGACAACGCCGAAAATCGATTTGCGCGAAAAATTTGCCTGAACGGCTCGAAAAGTCGCTAGAAACCGACCAAGATCATCGGTACCGGCGTGGACGACGAGCGAGCGGCCAACGACAGTGTTCTCGCCATGGATCTGAACTAAACGTTTCAAAAAATCCCAAAAAACGCTTATACCTTGATGAGAGAGTCCTTGATCTCGAACTTGGCGACTCCATTCGAGTCGGCCTCAACGTTGCCCAGATCGCCGACGTGACGCGTCTCGTCCTAACATACGAAATATCGAAAAAGCTGCTAAAAAAATTACATTGGGGCCTCCGTGGGTCTTGTTGAAAGGGTTGAAATGGGGTCCAGCGGAGATGCATCCGTTTGTGGAGTCGCCATACTGATGCACGTGGAAGCCGTGTTTGCCGGGGGTCAGTCCACGAATCTCGCCCTTGATCACCGTCGGGTCGCTTTCCTTATCCTAAAAAAGTAAAGTGAATCGTAAATTCTCCATAATATTTATACCTGTCTAAGATAGACGGTTCCCTCAACACCAGCATCTCCACGTAGAACGGCCACAGCTCGGTTGCTCATTGTTTGCTTGGCTTCCGGCTGAAAAAAATGAAATTACACTGAAACCTGGAGCTAAAAATTGTTAGCGAAAACACAAAAATAAAAGAGAAGAAATTAGGAACCTTGAAAAAGCTTCTGATATTTTGGCTGATCGCGTAGACGAACATCACTAGCTTGAGAATCTGAAGGAAACAAGATGAGATAAGGCCTGGAACTGAAAAATGAATAAAAAGAGAGGAAAATTGGGAAGTGGAGAGTGTTGTTGACGGGATAAATATTGTGAGGGGAGCGTCAGGGGAATGGGGGGAACGATACAGAGAGGAGAGAGCGAGGAAAGTGAGGAGAGGGCAGAGAATCGGCCATTTACTGGGGATGGAGGAGAGATAAGGGGCAAACTACGGCCAATCCCCCCCACACATTCTCATCGCTCACTACAATAACAACAAATTGGAGGAGTAGCACAAAAAAAAAGATAGTGTTTCAATAGAGTAAAGAGAAGGTCAAAGATCTTGTCAAAAAAGGTTCAAAAACGGAGAATTTTGAATGTAAAAAGTAACGGAAAATGAAAGACCTTGGGTTTGGACTCGAGAGAAGCCCCTGGAAGATTTATCGCGTTGCCAAGGCGATATCAGAAACCGCAAAAAAAAGAACAACCGCCTAGGCCAGAGAAAATTGGCGGAAAACGAGGTTATAAAATAAAAGAAGCCCAACCGCGATCAACTATAATAATTTTCTTGACGCGTCTGTCCGTCCGTCCGTCTGTGTGAAGCCGAATTCAACTCGAAGGGGAAAGGAGCTAGAGCTTAGCTCTCTTCGGATTCGGATAGTGCGCCGTCAGAAACCCCCAAACTGATAAAAAAATTATGAAAAACTTTTAGTTTAAATTATTAAAATTAACTTTGAAAGTGGCGCCTTAATAAAACGAGTGGGGGGCCCTCTCCCGGGAGGCCATGCCCCCTTTCCCCTCGCCCCTCTTCCCCAGGCCCCTTCGCGCGCCCAGATCGCTTTTTCAGTTACTTTAATACTTTTTAATACTTTTTAATTATGTTAATTAATTATTTAAATTATTTAAAGTATCTAAAGCCATCGTTAGGTAGTTTTTGAAGGGGATTTCAGCTATGGGGGGTATCTGAAGCCATCAGGGAGGTATTTAGGTAGTTTTTGACGGGGATTTCAGCTATGGGGGGTATTGATGGAGGTGGGAAAGGATGTGGTGGAGTGGGACATGTAGGGTAGCCCGAAGGCCAGATGGTTGCAGTCGCGAAGCGACTGTAACCATCTGGTTTGGTAACATAAAAATAAATATCAAAGTTTTAAAGTGTTCAAAAGTAATTTTGTGCAACTTTTTTTTCGAAAAGTTTTAGAAAGCAAAAAAATTCAAAAGTAAAAAACCACGAGTCAGAAAATTTGCCGTCCTAATCGAATATCTCGTGAGCTACGGTACTAAAGGTGTTCAATAGACCAAAGACTCCCGTTTCGCGGAAAAAAATTGAATTTTTTGCGCGCTTTTTTGCTTTTTAATAATTTGAAAACCAATTTAATTTGATGTTTTGCAGGTATTCGCCGATGCTGACAAAAGCATTCAACTGCCCGAAATGCGAGAGACCGTTCGCTTCCGTCGGACAGCGACCCTTCTACTCCATCCACAAAAAGGAGGTCTACTGCCGTGAATGTGCGCCGAACCCGAAGAATGTACGACAACGAGGGATGATTGAATTCTTGAGCCAGCGGGCATTCAAGTGTACTTCTCAAGGATACGAATATACTCTCCCGATCGCCGATCCTGTCTGCGTCGGTTGCAATGGAAACATCAAAGTGATCGGAGGAGCCCGGGCAATACCCACTCATTGCGGCCACTATCTTTGCCAAGGATGTGTCGAGCGACGCAAGAATGGCATCGTATTCTCGTGCAAAAGATGCAACACCTCAGCCGCCAAATCTGCCGATTACCCCGAGAACCGCGCCCTGATCAAGTTTTACGAGGAGATCAGGGGACATTCCGAGAAGACCGAATTCGAACAAGGGCCACGAGAGGACACACCACAA